CGAAGTATAACCCAATCAGTTATTTTTAAATAGTTAGCCTTCGAATTTTGACGTAATGACGTTCAATGATTAATTTTGTCCATGTTCGTATCGTTCGATGATACGTGCTACGGAGGTGTAAGTACCAAACACGAGCATTAGTATGCCTGCCACCATGATAACTCCATCCTTTATGAAGATAGAAGTGGGAATTCGTCCGTCGCCCTCTGAAGCTAAAGTAAGGACATGAATAAAAATTGGGAAGATAACAGCCAAAGCTGTGCAACCAACGGAGCCGACCAATGCGATGAAATTATCCAGTTGAGGTACACTGACTGCCATGATGCCTACAAAGAAATAAGACGTGAACATATTAGCTTAGAGGCTGGTCATTATTTATCGCGTTCAAGAATTATTCTTGTTCTCTCATTGGCTAATTCTCCGTTTATTCTGATTAACGGTTGCGGTTGCATTGCTGATATTTTTACAACACTCACTGTTAATCGACCAAAATTATCGCTCATTAGTTTTCATTCAAATTCGGTGGGTACTTACATGTTAGAATAACTGTCGCCGCTCTGATTCCGTAGTCAGCCCATGTTTGATATTCCTCAGGTACATGTTTGAGGATCGGGGGTTGGAGAATCAACATCGGCACGTAAAACTGAATAAAATACGTCAGAAATATACAGGTAGAATACAGCAACTTTACTCCTGTATATATTCTGTTGAGAAAACAAACGCAATTTGATTTAAGATGTAACTACCTCAAAGCAAGCCGGATAGCTGAGGTAGCAGGAGCTGGGGCGAGAGAGCGCGGGAGAGCGGTCACGCAAGAGCAGAAATGCGACATAGTGCTCTTAAATGACTGTGAGTATATGAAAATTCTTTATCCGCAGTTCACATGCATGATTTTCATACATTCGTAGTCATTTATTCGTCACTTCACGGGTTTATTATGATCCTACATTAACATAACAACAAGCTCCCACTTGGCTTGTTAGCTCAGTTGGTAAAGCACTGCACCGGTATCGCAGAGGTCATGAGTTAAAATCCCGCACAGGCCTAAATATTTCACAGCATTTATTTTCACTACTGCTCAAAAAGTGTTCATTGCTGCGAAGATCGCTTTCGTTTTCATTTTCTGTAATTTGTGCGTTATCTGTTTTTTTTTTTTCCTTTTTCTTCTTTTGTCTTATTTTGTAAGTATTCACTGAGTAACCTACCCTTCATTTGGAAGATTCAGTGTAATGCTGCCTCTACATTCGTCTTGACAAAAGAGGTATCCCAGAATTCCTAGCAGCGAGAACAGCAATGTGACGACTCCCATACCAAAATTAAGAACCAAACGATAATCCTGAGGGGTCGCCATCTTGTTTTCAATTGGCAAAACCTAAGGATGACGGGAAAATAAAATGATAAAGGTATTCAAGTTTGCGTGGCAAATGCCACCGATCGAGACGTTCTTAAACAATTTGACTTATCCAGAAATTTGGTCGGTTGGCTGTCAAGGCAAACAGTGTAAGAAACGTGTTTCCGTGCGCAAGATGAGAAAACAAAAAAGGTTTTCGACTTATTTTATCGTGACAACCCCGAAGTCTTGGATTTCGGCGATTGCGGCAAATGTGATCGTTCGACGGGTGTAAAGCGGCTGCATTCTCTGTCGCCTTTCTAGTTTTCTCACATAGGCGCACTTTTTCACTCCTCTTCCTTTTTCGATCGTTACCCCTAACTGACAACCCGGCTAGGGAAAGATCTTTTTATTACTAATAGTAGGGAACTTAGGCAGTCCGGACGACAACGCCGAGGAAGACGTCGATTAAAAAGTGAATCTATATCTTAAGTGAGAATTTCGCGAATGGCAGAATGTGTTTACCATCTCCTACGGCACCACACCTCAACTCTAGCGCAACATATGTGAGCAGCTTTGAGTTCCAAATGGAAACTTAAAAAATTTGCCGTCTGGTTTTCCGTTGTCAGACCACGCAAGTTTTGGCGATTTCACGGTCTTGTTTTGTGGAAAACAGCTTAGAAATGTTCAATGTTTTAAAGTAAACATGCTGAGCTATTGTTCCGCCCATTAATACTTTTTTTTGTCGCTTCCTCGTTGTTGTCGACGTCGTGGTTTGCTAAAGCTCCTAAGTGACTTCAAACATACCACGCCAATTCCCTCAAAAGCATACATAGCGATTCCAAAGAAAACGGGAAAGTTCGACCATCCAGCGAAACCTGGCAGTTTCTCCGTATGTTGAATGTTCCTAATGAGGTACTGAAATATGACAACTAAGGAAATGCCACAGCAAATGTTAGCGATCATCGAGAGCGGAGCTAGGGTGCGAAGGTCCCGGATGAAGGACAAGAGGATTATCGGAACAAGCATAATTGCCATCCACGATTGAACGTCAAGAGCGTTGGAGACCTGGGAAGAGGTGAAAATAACATGTACTTATTGACTGAATGGGACGGCTGAACGGATAAATTTATTGCTCAAAGTCATGATGTGCGGATTCTAAACTAGGGAAATTTGAAAAGTAGAGAAAAACAATCGTTTGTCTTACCTGCTGAAGATTGTTAGCAATAAACACGAAATACACACTGCAGAAACCCAGCTGTGAGATACACAAGAAAAAGTTCACAAGGTGTCTGATGATGAAAGAGAAACTATGCTTAAATCACGTCTTGGTGGAGAACAAGTTGTAACGTTTCATTGCGTCGGACTGGACGAAAAAACCTGGTTACACTCAATACCTGCTGGAGTTAAATCAATGCGAATCAATAAAAACGTAGCTACGGCGTTTTTTAATTGAAGACCAAATGAAATTAATTATAATGGCCCAAAATCAGAGAAAAGGAAGAAATTACTCGGATTCCAATAAAAGTTCAGAGCAAATATTTGTATTTCGCCTGAAGGCGGGAATGGAACATATGGATGGACTAGGTTGCAACTAATTCATCCCCGCTTTGTTGATAGGGGACAGAAGTTATTCAGACCAATCATAAAGAGTATCGATGCAAAATAAATACCAAATCAAACTTGTATGAAAGTTTCTTAAAATTGAATTACAAAGATTTGTGAGGAACTGGTGGTCATGTAACAACCTGGGAGACGGCTGGTTGTTGGATGACCCTGAGTAACAAGCTTATGCGATGATTTTTTAACACCGAAGTCGCCATGATTACCTGCCAAGGTGAGCTTTCTTTGGAAAATGACGTCTGATGCTCTCCTCCGCAACTTCTCCATAACCCAATGAAATTACTCCAGTTCTTAAAATGACAAGAAAATAAAGAGAGCAGAGACATAAGGAACCAGGTATTATTTATTGTCCGGGGGGGATCAGTCGTCGCTGACAGAGTATAAAGGGAGGTTTATAAAAAAAAAATTGACTGCCAATGAGGGGGGGATCAGGTAAGTTTTATTGTGAAAAAACCAAAATTCTCCGAAAAACCAACCCTCCCTCCCCAGGCGATAGATAAGGGTCCCTTTGTCTGCTAATTAATACTTCCACTCCCAAGATCTCATCAGTAATTCTCCTTACTGTCTGCTGTACAATTCTTATGATGTTAGCTCGGAGAATTTGGTATTGGATCAACTACAATTCCCTTAATAGATATTTACCTTTATGCTCATATCCTGTCTGATTGATATTGTATTGATCTTGTATGGAGAAATTATTTCTTGGTCACTCATGGGTCCAAGAGTTAAGGGTTTCTTCCTCAAGTATAATATAAATGACCTACTATGGACCGACACTGTCTGTATGGGGGAGGGAGGAGTACTACCTTTTTTTTTCCATGGCCGAGGGTCTGGAGGCAAAGTGGCTTAGAGTAACTGTTTCAGGTAACATTTAAGAAACACCAGTTGAGCTGAACAGCGCTACACTTACCTCAGAGATAAAATATTACTACATTTGACCAACAGATGCATACAATGGATTGTGATTCCCGCAACTGCTAATAGTGCTAATGGACCTACCTGCAGGGGGAAAGGGGAATGATTTAGGTATTTATGACTATTGTTTGTTTGTTTTGTTTGTTTTTTTTGTTTGTTTGTTTTTTCATTACAGAACATTCGTGTTGGCGATAAATTGTTCTTAGATCCAGTCGTTGAGAGAACTTTAGTTACTATTAGCAGAGTTATACATTAGCTATCAGCTTTTCAGAATTCTATGTCAAAACTTACCACAATCCCAGCATGCATCATCGCCTCAGGCAATCCCAGCATACCTGTTCCAACGTTTCCTCTCCAAAGATGCATCAATGTCTGCATGTTACTACATATGAAGACAGTCAAAAAAATCAATGAGATCTGATAAAAAATTTCGGCTGATATTAATAATGCGACGCTGATATTGATTGGAATTTGTTCGGGTATGAGACGGTATAATGCTTACGTTGTGGTGTCCTCCAGATTTTGCCGTTTGTCTGTTTCAGATGCAGCAGGGCCGGTGCTTTCACTTGCGAAGTCGTATAAATGTTCTTCGTCTTGCCCGCCGACAAAGAGTGAACTGTCATCTCCTTTACCGATGTGAGTCGAAGCGTTGGATGTCGCAGTTTGATTGTCCTGGCCATTTTCTAGCTTACTGTTTGATCCCTGCGACAAAAAATTAAATTTAAGTGACAGTAGAAGTTGCAAAAATGCGACCCAATAACTCGACAGTAGACCCAATCTAAATGATAAAAGACTGCATGAGCGCTCTTTACCAGGGGGTTTTTGTTGAGCGCATTAAGTCTACTACTAAGCCCTATTCAAACCGGCGTCACCTTGACAAGAAGAAGCTGTGAAGAAATCAAACGTAACAAGACGGCGTGTTTTTTTTGTTCTCTTTATTATTTTTCCAAATTGCATGTTATTGAATCAAATGTTGTGTTGAATGAGGAACTCACTGATGCGAGCGAAACGTCATAACTTTTTTTATTATCATTACTATTCAACAGACTCTTTAAGAAATGCAACGCCATTAGGAAGGAAGAGAATCGAATACTATTTTATAGCACGTACCCAGAAGGGAATTTCAAATAATTCAATTTTAAAACTTTGAAGCTCTCCATCATCTGTATGTATATGGTCGACTGAAATAATCATTATAATCTTTAATCTTCTGCCTTCGTCAAATTGTAAAATAAAAACATATACAACACAGTGAAACGTGTCAAAACCGTAGTTATGCAATGGAGGGAAATTCATTTTATTGAGTCGGTAAAGTTACTAGATTGACTGTGGTGTCTATGTTACTGAATTAGGATAAAATTTGCGAACACGGTATTACCTGTGAGAGGATTCAATACATAAGAATTAATAATTACCTGAACTAGAGGTATTTTCTCTTCACTCCCAGCCATTGGCTTTGAATCGCTTTTTTACCAACTCGCAGTTCAGTTTGATCAAACGACGAATTTCTGCTAAAACAAAAAACTGCCACATGTGAAGAGGAGGCGACGTTTTTCGGTTAATTCCGACTCAATTCGTATGCCCTGAGCGAAATTTTATTATTTATGATGTGAAAGAAAGCAAGCCGGGATGAATAAATTTGGTTATAATCAACCAATAGGAGGTTCTATATCAATTGTTTTAGCAAAAACAATTCAATGATGTCTCGAAAAGCTCTGAAAGCATTTTTATCTTTGAAACAAACCAGGGCGCTTTTGTTCTCTTTTATAAGCGCGAAGATAATATAAAGTTTTGGACAAAGCAATGAAACTAGCTGCCTGCTACTTATTGCGTAAGCTAAGTTGTCTACAGCAGATTAAAGGCAATTTTTCCACAAAGTCATGTTAAAATCAGTTGAATCCTTCTCATGAGTGAAGGTATAAAAAAGAATCCCGAGAGTTTGAAAGGTATAATCGCGCGAGTATTACTTTGAACAAGTTACAAATTTTGTTATTTCAAACGATTTGAAACATTTCGTGCAATGTTCAAGCCCGTTGAGGTTACAACAATCAGTGAAATGAATTCAAAAGTAACGATCAGAACAAGGAGCGAATGGATTCTAAATTCTCCTCACAGCATTACCCTTGAATCAAATATAAAGGTCGTAGAAAAAAGAAAATAATCGCAAATTGAAGAGGCCCCTGATTGTCGAACAGATTCTCCTTGTCAGTACCATAGGAAATGTAAGAAGAACAGTATAGAGAATATAGAAACTATAATTTTAGGGTAAAAGGGTTAACACGTCGATCCAAATTTTCTCGGTTAAGTTCTGACGCTAACAAAAAAATTTTAAGCAAAAGTGACTGAGGAAGTTTCCTTTTCAATGACCGAAAGAAAGAAGTAGAAATTTTCTGCCAAAAAGAACAAAAGAAAATTTTCCCAACAAATTGAAACGGGACAGGCCCTAATGGCAGCCCAAACATGTAACTGGCAAACAGTCTCAACTCGAGTTGCAACCTGGGATTTTAAAAGCGCTTATACCTGAACTTTTTTTTTTATCCAGTACTTAGTTGCGAGCTCATTTCTTTACGTCCTTCGAGATGTCGTCTTCACACTAATTTTTTTTTTTTATTTCAGAATTTAAGTAATCATCCAAAGGGAAACGAGGATATGTACTGATTCCATTTGGATTTATCTTCATTTCCGACCATTTCTCTCAGATCCGATCACATAAAGTTTTCTCACTCGTGATAGCTTGCGAGGCTATCATCGTTACCGCTTCAGCAGGAGCGTTTCTCCCCCTCCTCCCCCAGGGAAGAGCATAAGGCCTTGAGCATTGCAAGCTAGCGAGAGTTCTGCAAGGGGTTTAACATAAAAAATTATAAGTTCCAGACCCCTGGCACCCCTTTCCCGCGAGCGGAGAAACGCGCGTCCTGCAGCGCTTCGAACGAGGGTTTACTCACAGGTTACACTCATGACAATCACGTGTAGCAGCTTAAGGAAGCCAGTTTTTTGCCGTCTCTCTTCAGATGGAATTAAAGTCTTATAGAAGGAAAGCCCAGGCCATTGAAGTTCATAAAATGTGATAGAGTCTCTAAGCTGACGTCCGGAGCACTATCTCTTCATCAGAGCGAAGGGTTAACACTCTGACGAAGGGCTAACACTCTGACGGAGGGCTAACGCTCTGGCAAAGGGTTACTGCTCGAAGCGTCAGCTTAGAAACTCTTTACGGTGGCCAAGTTACATTAATTTGATAAAATTTAAATTATCTTGTTCTACTCCCCCAACGACGCAGCACCACAATCATTCCCTAATCATTCTAAACAGCATATGGCAGTCTGCGGCCTTTCCTTACATCTAGGCAGTTCGGAAAGCCGCAAAACACTAGAACAAAAATTTATCTTCCAAATCGGCACCCTTAATCCCCACGGAATCAACGAGCGCTTTTCATTCAACTAATTTACTCTTGTTTTCTCGTCATCATATTCCCACCAATGGCGTAGCTCCACTTTCCAAACCCACACACAACCCACAATTCCTCCAATCGCTCTGACGAAGGGCTAACGCTCGAAACGTTAAAAAAAAAATTTTAGCTTTTTTACCCTTCGCGGTGGCTAATTTACGTTTTCAACTCAGTTGTTAACACTAAATTACCTGCTATACTCTCCCATTGACACAGCACTACAGTTTATTTAGAAACTTACCCCCCCTTTATTCATTTGACGCTTCACCACAGTTGCGTCAGAAACTCACCCCCTTTTTTCATTATATAAGTAGACACTGACACACAACCCACAACCCCACAAATCTCTACGGCGACCTGCTGATCCTCGAAGAGGTGGACTTTGCGAAACTCTGAACGCCGCAACACTTCAAAATTATCTTTACAGAAACCGCATTTTCGTACACGAAGTCTACGAAACACGGACATAGTAATATGATTCATATTCGCTCACAACTGACCATGTTACAAGATCATATTACTTGCATGTCCTGTGGATAAAGTGATATAAAACTGATCTTTCATGTCTGATGTGTCCTTAATCAAGTATTGTATGCTTCTTGTTCAAAACTTTGATTTCAAGTCCCTTTAGAATTGTGTGGAATTTTGTCAGTGAAATAAGCTAAATTTGTAACTGATTTTAGACAAGGATGTCAAGGGTTATTGACTATCGCGAAAGAACCGTGTCACCGCATACTGGAGGAAGCCGGATTTTACATTACTGCAATACCACCAAGCGGGATGTTAATCAACAAAGCATCGCTTAAAAAAAAATATTAAACAACCACGCAAATTTTGCTGCGCCGGTTTGTGTCTTTAAACTAAGTGCTTTCCCTTGCTCGCCGACGCATAAGAGAGACCTCCCATATAAATCTATATGTTTCTATATTTCCAGAATTTTAAGGTAAAACGAAGAGTTTCAAAAATTTCTCTTTTAATTTTTTATAACATCAATATAGGTATTGCAGGGCCAAAGAATTTTGAGTAGGGTACAAAAAACAGATTCTTACAACGTTGAGTTTTGGCTTTTCAAAGCTTTAACCAATTTTTTTAATTAAACTAATGCCATGCATTTTGAAATTTGGGGATACAATGATCTTTGCTATGGTATACGTTTATTTCGACATTTTTGCCAAAAATTCCGAATTAAAGGGAAAAGGCATAAATCCGCTAGGTAAAGACATAAGAGTTGTCTCTGCTAATGAATTTGTATTTACCGTCTCACGATCGATGTTTTCGCTTTTGATGTAACCGCGAAGTTCGATAACAGATTGCTAATCTTTCTCGGGCGGTAACGGCTGGTTACAAAGCATATACTCCGCTGTGATTGGCTCGTTCTCAACAGCTGTGAAAAGCGTATTCGGAATATTTGTTCCCTCAGCTGTCCGCTGCCGTACAGCTCTCCAGTTTTGGTGTCTCTTAATCGAGGGCATGCATGCTCCTACAAGTTCTATTCCACTGTTAATGTTGATATTGCCGGGTTGAATGCTTCTGTGAGTCGCTACTTTTGCCCTGCGTTTGTAGCACTAAAGATTGAGATCGAAAAAACTTTACGCCGTTTCAAAGCGAGTGGTGCACGATGACCTTGTAGAGAAACGGCCAAGGTTTGCGCTTTTGCGATTCGGATGTCTCTGCAGCTTCCAGGCTAAGGTCAACTCTGTTAGAAAGTTAGCCCATCAGTAGAACTTTACATATTTTAAAAGCAACGTCGGAGAGCTTCATAAAAATGACTAGCCCATCCGGTTGAAATAGTAAAAAAGGTTATCACGAAGTAGCCCGAGGCAAAACTTTAAGTCAGAATGTTTTTCCTCAATTAATTATGCGCTTGGAATTGCTTAGAACAAAGATAAAATTAATTTGGGGAGTCAAAAGAATCACAATGGTGTTTAATAGATTGCAGGATGGTTTTTCAGTGAACAATTGTATTTTCCTCCAGTGAGTCAAAAATTTATCAGATTTTTCATGAGAAGGTGAATGGAGGAAATTCAGTCTCGAGTTACATTAAACCCTTTTTTGAAAACAAAATAAAACGGAACAACGAAGATCATTGGCAACGAAACAAAATAAAACAAGTACACGATGAACTTGTTAACTTGAAATAATTTTTGCCAAAGGAGCGAAATGTATTTCGCCAAGCTCCACCTGCTGTGGTTTATGAAATTGGAAATCGGAGTGAAATGCATACACGATTACAATGAAACTAAGCCGAAGGCGTTTAGTGTTTTGAGAAGTAAGCCAAATGGTAAACCAATCACATCATTTGCATTCAGAAAGAAGCCTTGAGACCTTTTATCTATTGTCTCTAACATAACTGAAAAACTTTGTTTCGACTTCATCGTTAATTGGTCGGGGGTACAATTGTAAACAGGGAGTGACTGCTAGGTAAAATAACAATTAAAACAAATGATTCGATGTAAGGCCGCGACAGCTATCCGTCTTCTGTCCTCGATTTGTCAACTTTAATTTTTACGCGCAAGAGACACATACATGCGAAACAGAAACTGAGAAAAAATATCTAATAAATGTGATGTACATGTGATTCTGTCGCAGTTTGTTTCCAGCACTTGCAGAAAGTGATATTTTGCCCGAGAAAGTTTCGCATGCTGTCACGAAACTTTCCATTCAAAAACCCGTATAGGAAAGGATTTAACGCGCTGTTGAGAAACGTCAGTAAAGTTGTGGGAACTTTTACTGCTTTCGAGAAACTTTGGTGATTTATGGAACCGTAAAATATAAGTAAGAAATACGGGCTCCAACAGATAAGAAAAACTACTATGATAATCCACAGCATTTTGAAACCACGCACTTTCTGCCTTCGTTTGTTTCGTATCGCTTTCGGGGCATACAACTTTTTAGCACGAGACGTGTTAGTTGCAGATGTGATTTCATCGGCGATCACCGTGTTTTCGGGCGTGCGGACAAATGTCGTTTCTCCGTTAAATTGTGAATTGCCTTGGGTTACGTTGCTCAATTCGCCAACGTTTAATCCTTTGTGGTGGTGAACCCGTCTGAATTGTCTCCTTGCGGTGCATAAGATGGATAAGTAGGTGAAGGCGATGATCGAGAAAGGAGCCACGAAACAACTTAGAAACAGAAAGAAAGTGTATCCGTTGTCGACAGAAGGTTTGCCAAATGAAGGTCGACAAATAAATTCCACAGCCACAAATCTGTAACCTTCTCCCCAGCCGAACACTGGCATAATGGCGCAAACAGCTGCATGAAACCAAACATACACGATCATCATCAAGCAGCTTCTATGCGTTACAAGTGTACAATATTTCAGAGGACGACAGATCGCAAGGTAGCGATCGATAGCGACTAGAGCCAAGGTCAATATGGATGTTATACAGAAGACGGAAAGGAGAAATCCCGTGATAACGCACATCACCTCGCCAAAAACCCATATCCCTTTGATAGACGAGACCAGCACGAATGGCATGCAGAGTACAGATAACAGTAAGTCTGTGGCGGCAAGGTTAAATATGAACGAGTTGGTGATAGTGCGCAAAGAGCGATGAACGAGGATACATCGGCAAATAAAGCTATTGGCGACTGCTCCAACTGACATAACTAGCGTTAGAAAAACACTTTGTGCAACAACCACGGCTGTAGTTCCAGATGATTGCCCTTCCTCACAAGTTAAATTCCCCGAGTCGTTCATAGTTATCTTGTTTATATCGAAAAAAAGCTTCTCGTTACAATGACTGTAGGCGCCTCCAAAATTCTCTATCTGTGCGTAATATTGCGTTGGCGTCTTAGCGGTATCTTTGTTTGGTTTTCACTGTTTTGTATTTATCACTCGGTTTCCGGCAACGGACTGTTGGGGCAATTTACGGGTCGTAAAGGAAGGTGAATTTCCAAAAACTAACCAAAACTCATGAAGTGATGCGAGTTAATTTTCCGGTGTAAAGATACAGTGATTCTCTGTAGACTCCGATGTTCTTAGTGTTTGTTGTTGCTGTTCAAATATCTTTATGTAGAGGATGAACATGAATATTCAACTGAACCAAGATGACAAACGCTTCGTCGGCGACGTGACTTCCTTGAGACCAATTAAAGAAGTGAGCTAGTTCGTGTCTCTTATTCCAGGGCACCTGCCACTATGCAAATATTCTAGGAAAATAACGATTAAAAAAATGCTGCCAACCCTGACTTACCTACATGTTTCCCCCGTCGACACCTTTTTTTCTCATCTAGCAAACCAGCGATCGATTTTTTATTCGGATAATTTTTTTCAGCAGAATTAGTTTCAGTGAGATGATGAATCATCGACAATGTTGAGTAAAGTCGTAAAGCTAAGTCTGTGCCCATCAGGAAACCTTTTTCATTATTCACATGACATAAAAACCTATAGATCTTTCCTGTTGACGTTAAAAATGCCACCTCTTCACGAAAATAAAAATTATACAAAAAGGAAATGTCTGGAAGGGAAAAGAAGAAATTGAATGTGAATATGAGTAAGCTTGTAAGAAATATTGTTATTGAGGAAAAAAATTCTTGTTCTTGCCCCAGAAATATGTATTTAGTTTTTAATTAAAAGAGAAACTTACCATTTGCCTATCGGATGCCTTGTCAACATTAATACCTACCGCTGTGACAAACAATAGAATTTTTCGTTCTTGGCGTTAACTGGGTATGATTTAATGAAGCTTTCAGCGAAGAATAGTTGGGTAAACATCACAAGGAAAGACTGTACAAACATTGATTGCCGTCAACTCGCAAACTTTGTCATTTTACGCAAATTATCCTTTTTCATATAAGATACCTCCCCTTTTTGAAAGATATACAACTGACATCGATTTATTTGAGGTTCTCACCACTATGTTAATTTCATGAAGAAAAAAAAAAAAAAAAAAAAAGAATATTATTTCGTAGCGGAGAATGTCGACTCACTGGAATATGCTACTTTAGTCACCTTAAAACCTTGATCCTATTCATCAGGACAGTTCATAGTCATCTTCATTAGAGTTGTTTGCTTTTTCTCAGGAAAATGCAAACTATGTTCTTTTCTTAGAAAAAAAGAACCCTTCAGGTAATTAGAGGCAAGAACGTGATGAAATATAATACTGTTTCAAAAGTTTATTTTAACCAGAAACGTTCTCCTTGGCCTTGGTCATGAATTCGACTGATTCGGAACATGAAAGAAAGATTTTTAGTTACTACTTAAACATCATTATGTATGATTTTTACCGAGTGCAACAATAACATCGCGAGCGTTTCTTGTCGACTAAGAAGTTTCAATAAAAGGTAGTTTACCAGCCTCGCTACCGCCCACTTACCACCGTCTGTTTAGTCTGTGACCAGGCTCTTGCGCGTGTGGTTTCAGCTTACGGCCCCTTTTCAGGCACGTTCGTCTTTCGCACCATTGGCAGCCGGTTATGAGGAAAGTTGTTAAAACTCCTTTAATTCAACTAGCCACAGAATATTTGTTATTATTCTTCTGAAATCTGTGTGCAATCCAAAACTTGTCATCAGGCCAACATTGGTGACCATGGTTACATTGCCCTTCTTCCTCTTCGATGCAATTTTCAAAATGCAATCGAAGAAAGCAACCCTCCTTCCCACACCTCTCCGGGTTTTGTCTTTAGCATTCTTCAAATTAATTTTTATTCTGAGCGAAGTTAGGTATTGTAAAATCATAACATCTCGTGCAATTAAATGATGAGACTTCACTAGTAATTTTCTTTATCTTGTCAAAGCTGAGGAAGGTGCATATCCCTTACGACTGATCTAATGACGATGGCCTGAGATAAAAATCCGATGCTGTACAGTTATCATTTTTGGTTAGCGTTTAAGAAAAAGTTTTGAACTTCTTTGCATAGTGAATCAGATTGTTTTTAAGCGTATATCTATCCCGCTCCCAGTTAAAAGCTCCTCTAGATGCAATTTTACGATCGAAAAGAGCTTTCTGTCTCCATGTCACCCTCTCGATAATTCCTCAAGAAATTCAGACTCAGGCGCAATAGTTGTACACGATACAGTCAGCGTTTATGGTTTTAACTTGAATTCTAGACAGCAAAGATAAAAAACTAATCCACTCTCATCATTTACTCCTTTGCATTTCCATGTGTATCAGTCAAGAAAATTCAGGATTATATCAAGATCGGAACCTCCGTCTGATAGCTTTCCCTTTTCTCATTACACGCCTTCTAGTAAATGTTGAAGATGTTTGAAAGCTTTAAGGAAGAGTTTTTTTTTAAAGAAACTTCTGCGATGCGCTTATAAAATAAAACCGAGCCGTAATGCTTCGCAGATCATCCTCGAACAATCATAAGACGCAAAGCAACTACATAGAAGCGAGGTAAATTTTTATTTTTTGGTTAAAAAGTGCGATTGTTTTTTCCTTTACAAATCCTTTTATTTCCCTGTTGTGCAGTAGAAGTGCAGTAGAAACGCACTTAGAGGCTCATTGAGCGAGCTTTGGCCACCTGTTGAGTTTTTAAGGTTTTGTACACATCACGACAGCGCAGAGACTGGTGATCAAAACATTTGGCGGGGAAACAAGATGGCGGCCAAGCGTTTAAAGATAGATCAGGATAGTAATGGTAAAGTTAAGCGTGACGATGAGCGGAATACTACCACAAAGCTTGCCGATGCACTCATCTATATCGTCCCTAAAAAGATTCCTAAAGCAAGGCTGCAAGTCTTAAACAATCTGGCGCAGAAGAAAGGGTTTCTCCTATCGGAACGTTTCAGGTTTGTATGCCGAGACATCAGCTGAGTTGTTAGTACGGTGTGACTAGAGGGTAATAGGGTACCTCCTCGAGGAAGAAGAGAGAGAGAACTGTAGGAGGAATTTTGGCACGTGGTAAATAGTACTGAAAAATCAGTGTGCTATGACATTTTGAGATCATGCATACAATATTCAGCGCGACCTGCACTTTCTCTGAATGCCCCCCAGCGGGGGACATTAGGTGCAAAGCAGCTAGTTATCAAATGAAGTCAACCATAACAATTGGTTGGACAATTTAGTTATCTTAGTTATTTGATTTAGTTATCAAATGAAGTCAACCATAACAATTGGTTGGACATTGCTTGCCAGCGTTTGTACAAAATTTTCTTCCTTTGTCCTAGAATTGAAAATCATCAGATTTTCTCGGGACATACTTATGTTTTGCAGAGACTAGAAAAAAAAAGCTCTATCATTGTCACAATTCAATGTTACCTGACTTTGGAAATATAATGTCTTAAAAATTTCTCTTTTCAGTGATTCAGTGATACACATAGTCGCTGGGTATGAAACTTTGGATAGAGTTCATGCTTTCCTACCTATGTTTTGCAGAGGCTTGAAGAAAAAGTACTGCCATTGCCACAATTGACTGTCACTTGACTTTGGATATATAATGTCTTAAAATGTTTCTTTTCAGTGATTCAGTGACACACATAGTCACTGGGTATGAAACTGTGGATAGAGTTCATGCTTTCCTAGAAAGGTAACCAAATAAAGAAATAAATAGATGAATTAATCCATGTTCCAAAATTCTCATTTAGACATGAATGGATTGGTAGAAACCTATTCAAAACAAAATGTGGTTAAAGGTTTGCATAACAAGTTTTAAGATTAAACTAATTTAAAATGGATGAAGTCCTCTATGGCTGAAAAAATCATTGTCAAATATATGCTCACATCTGAAACATCACAACTATGTTTACATGCTTTCATCTAAATATGTCTGTTAACTAACAAGAGTATGCACAGTATCTTTGTTATTAATTTTTATAATGCATCTTAAAAGCTATGAAGTGTGAGACCTCAGAGTGTCACAACTGTGCTGGGTTAATAACTCATGTTGTGGAAAACCTGACTGTTGTGTGGGAAATCTAGTGAAAAAACCCCAGACGAAACTAACATTCAGGGTCTTAAAATAACTAAGGAGAATGTGTTGCCATTGCTACAACATATTCAAATGGTTACACATTCTGGTCTTCTCAGACATGGATGATAAACCATAGGCTCTGTTCTTGCATCTTCTCTGTACTGGTTAGTAGGGAACCCATGCACTTCTCCTAAAGAGTAAGGAATATACCTTACATTTGGGCCAACCTGTTTAAATATTGTAGTTAAATAAATAAAACTTGGACTTGTATGTGGTTGGATGTTTGCTACCACTACATATCTACTGGTAAAATCCTAAAATCCTCCAATTATATTAACCAATCAGCACATTTTCCAAATACCTAATATGAAAAAAAATAGGGTCTCAACAATTATAGTATTTGTAAAGAGAATCCCTCAAGGAAAGAAAAGTCCTGAGTTAGTAATGGAGTCATGGATATTTTTGTGCAAGAGAAACCAGGAACAATGAAGCACACACTTTAGAGATATTTTTTTCATATCAGTGTTACAATAATGGATTACTTTTTTATCATCAGGCAGCCCGCAAGCAATGTAGAAGTAGTAAATCTTGATTGTAAGTAGCAGGGTATGCATTTGCATTATTGATAAATTGCATTAGCTTCTCACACCAGAGTTTGTTTGGAAAATCAACTTATTTCTGTACATTGGTTTTTTACTCTTTGAATGTACTGGTGGTTTAATTTCTGTGATGTCAAGGAATGAATATGACTAGCAAGTTCTTATCCAAAGTACATGTTAAATCTCTGGAGGATTGATTAGTATGTACAAGAAAAAGGTACTTGTATTCAAGACTCCAGATATTTAGCTGATAGATTTAGAGTGCGTAACCTATTAATAACTTTTTATCTCACCAAGTTGTAGCCATTTGATTGATTGTTAAGATTAGAATATTATTAAGTTTATTTTAATCTGCTGACTGTTCAACAGGGTTAACTGACTGTATAACAGAAAACAAGATTGTAAATGTTACTGGTAAGGTCAGGATCAAGTCAGTTGGGGAGTTAAGTTCACAGAAATCCAGTGGGTATGTTTTACCTGCCAACTTTTTTGGAAAAAAATTTAGCCAGAAATTTTTATCTTCAAATTAGTACCTGCATGCTAGCAGTAAACTATTCATGCCTGAAAATTTCTAAAAATTCCCCAAGATCTTTCAAATAAAATTTAATTAAGTTGTTTGAATTAACTTCAAAGGTGCCCTGAAGAGCAAACTGGTCTTCATTGCTTTCCTTTCCCAAACCAAAGATTTTGGTTCTTAGTGATTGAGTTTTGACTTACCTTTAATAAAGTGATATTTCCAGGCACAAGATATTTGTTAGCATGCATGAGCTGATGTAAGATGAACATTTTCTTTTCATGAGTGTGAGAACTGCACCCAAGCTGTGGTATTTAGCAACTGTGTAATTAGAAGTAAGTTTAATTATGAAAACATCACGATCAATATAACAGCTGAAGACAATGTAACACTTGAGTGCCTACATGTCAGTGATAGATCAAACTTTTTTATGAGTAGAATTAAAAGAGGAAGATTGGTTCATAACTACTAATAATTACTCTCATGCTGTTCAGCATGATGCATCTACAACAGAATATTCTCAGAGTATATTTCATTCTCCAATGTAGTTAGATCCATGCATTAAAATTTTCTTATCCAGGCCTCTTCACTACGTTATGTTACGTTATTATAATATAATATGTTACCTTGCAGTGTTGCAAGGGCAGAAAGCAATAAGTTGGAAGAAACCTCACCCAATGAATATCAGGTAGTACAATGTTATAATTCTCTTATCCACATTATAGTTATGTCTTTGCTATCCAATAATATATTAATTGATTTTCCTAATAAGTTTTTAGACTTCACATTTTTCCCTTGTAGGACAACAAGTTTGTTTGTCAGAGGGCTACACCTTTGAAGCACCATAATACCAAATTTACTGTGAGTATGGGGTGAAGGTCATTATGAAAGCTAAACTAAACAAACTTTCCCTTAATGTGGCCATTCAGACAAGCAGTTTTGCAAGATTGAAGCAAGGTGTAAAGGGAGATGTAGTGGCATTATGGTTAGCTTGCGGGACTTGGTTTTAAGTAAGGTTCATTTGTGAGTCATGGTGTGATGAATTTGTGGTCAACCCTTACAGAGTCTGCCCAGGAGAATGAATGAGTATTGGTAACCTGTCTTGGAAAATTGTCTAAATCCATGAGGGTACATGCAGTGGACCAGTGTCACAGCCAGGAAGAGTAACAATTCTCTTAGCTGCTTCATGCTGCAGAAAATGGGATAGGCTCTAGGGGTGTGAGGCCACAAAGTGATGACAAGGGTATACTTTCTTACCAACACAGCACTGCAGTTTCTTTAGAAACTTACCTCCTTTACATTTTACCTTTACCTAGTTGCATGTAGATTTAATGTTGCTAATCCTAATGTACAACGTGATAAAAAAAATTGCATGTTTCTCTCTGTTCACTTTGGTTCTTTTGTTGAAAGCAAGACTGAAAATATGTGCATCTAAGTGAAAATTTATGAAACTGCACAGTTGCATTTTGACAAGAGTTAATGATATGTTATCTTGCCCCTCTAATTTCTTCAGGATGCATTAGAAATACTTGAACGGCATGCAGTTTATGTGGACAGTACTCAAAGGGATTCCAGAGCGCTTGCTTTCAGACGAGCTGCTTGTGCACTCAAGTCCTACCCAAAGTATGGTACAAAATGTACTAGAAAAAAATACATCATTATATTCACTTATTCTTTACAATCACTTTCTTTATCCCCTCAGCTCAATCTATTTCTTTTTTGATTGAACTGAAATGCATTTCAGACAGATCACTAGAATCGAGGAGGCATCCAAACTGAGCAGTGTTGGAAATCATAGCAAGAAAGTGATACAGGCAAGTTTGTCCATATTTGATTATTTTTAAGTACTAAATGATACTGTCAATTATTAAATAAAATTAATCTGGAATTGTTTTTGCAATTTGTGTACCCTAGTTATTATTCTTCTTGCTGAAACAGGAAATTCTTGAAAATGGTTCATCAGATGAAGTTCAAGATATCTTAAGCAGTGAATTTTTCAAGACCATGGAGGTTTGTGAGTTATAAATTGGTTAGTAGGTGAGAGTGAGTGAAGAAGGGAGGAAGGGAGAGAGAGAGAGAGGTTGTTGGTCAGTCTGGTTGTTGGTCAGTCTGTAAGTCAGTCAGTCTGTCTGTCTGTCAGTCAGTCAGTCAGTCAGTCTGTAAGTCAGTCAGTAAGTCAGTCTGTAAGTCAGTCAGTCTGTCAGTCAGTTAGCCAGTCTGTCAGTCAGTCAGCCAACAAGTCGTTGAGTGAGTTAGTTAGTTGGTCTGTCTGTGTCAGTCAGTCAGACAGTCAGTCAGTCTGTTAGACATTCAGTCAATGAGTCACTAAGTGAGCTAGTTGTCAGTTAGTTGGCCACCTAGTAAAGCAGTCAGGAGGGCAATTCAGTAGACACTTAACACCTTTTGAACTATGATATCACATTCACAGGTATTCTCATCTATTTATGGATGTGGACCTGCTACAGCTCGGAAGTGGTATGAGAAAGGCTACCGCAGCATAGCTGATGTACATCATGCAGTGTCAGATGGAATGAAACTCACTGAACAACAGACCATGGGTAAATGGTTTGCAATGCATATTTTTTAAACAATTTCAGTCTGTAATTCAAACATGGAACTTCTAATCAGTTTCAACATGGCTGCTAAGACAATGAAATATTAAGACACTCTCACTGGCCAGGATGCCATGCCATCTATTATGCAATTGCATTCTGTGTCTTCACTGACTTGTAGATCCTTGCCTTCAGTTTTTAGTTTAAGCTCAAATGTGAACAATAATGGAAAATACATTTAATAATTTACAGGTTTTAAGTATCACAGTGATCTGGTTAAACCTGTTCCAAAAGAGGAAGCTATCAACATCAAGGACATAGTTATTAAAGAGGTAGGGTTATCTAAGGAAGAGTAAGTGGTGAAAGGTGTTTTATTTCTTTTAACTGGACTATTGCTTGTGCCTACATGATACAAAGGTGTCAATTCATCTTTAATACCATGATTATAGTTATTAATCGTAATTTTATTTTTTGGTGCATATTTTCGTAAAGGATTGCAAGAAAGGAGATAAGTATATACCACACAAGTTAATAGTGTTTTTTCATACACACTGATTGGCTAGTTCTGAATTGAATTATAGCAAGTACCATTTACCTCTGAGTAGCCAATAAGACTAAATTGTGCATTAAGAGTCTAGATTCTTACCATTTTTGCGTATATTAACAGAAATAAATAAATTTTTGGTATCTCGTGGTATATATGAAGTGTAGGTCAATAGTGATCACTGTGGATATTCACTGAGCCGCAAGGCAGCAAGGTAGATATCCACCAATTCCATGAACACTGAGGTGAATAATTGTTAAATATTACTAACTAATGATAACAAACCTACTAATAATTTTCTATGCAACACTTTTTCCACAGCTATCCAAAATTCAACCAAACTGTATTGTGGAGTTGGTTGGAGGCTACCGTAGGTGAACAAATTGTTTTTTATCTTATTACTTAGCGTTACTTTGTATCTTGGTTTCATTATCATCATTATCATAATAATTATTATGTCGCCTATTTTGATGCCACTGATACACAATCAAACATGCCACATGCCATGTGTGCAGCACTGCTGTGCAGAACCTAGTTTATGTTCACAGCTTTGGTTCAAAAAACAATACCATTTACCATCGTGAAGGCCAAAATAGAAGCAGATACTAAACTGTGGCAAAAAAGGTTTTTTTAATTTTTATATATTCTCTTTTTAAAGGTGTTTTGTATTCACTTTTTTTTCAGTTTGTTACCATCTTAAATAAAGTTTTCATCTGTATTCGATTCTTATCTGTATTCTTTTTTGTGTCATTTCTTGAACCCAATCCAACCTCACTTCATCAACTGATGAATAAATGTATCTTCTAAGCTGTGAATGAACATTAGTCACATCATATGTTTTTTCAAATGTTAATTTTTTGTTGTTTAGTGGAGTGAACCTACACTCCTACATGTTTTCCCAATTTCACATTAGATCAGTAGTCAAGAAGTATCACCAGATAGCTGTATTTATTTAATTGAGAACTCAAATAAACATTAAGGTAACAGAGAAAAGTCTCTTTATTTAATCTTGCAGAGGCAAACTTTCTGGGCATGATGTAGACATTCTGATCACACACCAGAACAATAGCAAGGTGGAAGGACTTTTACATAAATTGGTTGAAAGGCTCGAAAAATTGGTAAGTTTTAGAGATCATGGAGGTGTTATTCCTTTTCGGTTACAGGCAATCAACAAATCTGACTATCTCAGTGTCACATTGGTTAGGGTCATATTCTTCATAAGGACTTGATGGTAGGCCGTAACCCACACTTTGAAAGTAAAACTTTGTATTTGAAGAGTGTCAAGGGAATTGGTGAAGGAAGTCAAAGGTATGTTATCACATGCTTTAGAAGGCTTGTAACTGTTTAGTTAGCCTGGCAGGTATTACTTTTAGTGGTTTGCTCTATTTTCACCAGGCAGGGAGGCCATATGGACTCTCTTGATCATTGCTTCTGTATGTTCCAAATGGGGAAAAGTTTTGAAAATGAGAAGGTAGAACATTCATGTATGCAAACCACTGGTGAAGCTGACGAGACAGGCACATCCACAGGTTCTTCTTCCTCTGAGCAGATGGCAGCTGTGGTGAGGAGAGTAGATTTGATTGTGGCTCCACATAAACAGTTTCCATTTGCACTATTAGGGTGGACTGGTTCTAAGGTACATGACTCTGTCATTCAGCAATATAAAATTTCAGTTATAAGCCCCCTTTCCCTTCTGCCTAAATTATAAGGCAGCCCTCTCAGCTGCAATCCATGATATCTAATGTAGACATCAACCAAAGGGAGCTTTCTTTCTGAGAATCCCCAGCATCAAGCTCTCTTCTCTGCCTTCTTACCAGAGAGCTCAGATTTTTTCCTAGACGAGAGCTCAGTTTTTCAAAGGGCAGATAACACTATCCATTAGATAAATTGCTATTCTGTGGGTAAGTGTTAGCAAAAGGTAGTCCTCTAACCACATAAAAATAAATTGGATCAATATCAGTATCTGGGCAACTGCCCACCTACCCCTCCCCTAACCCAACATTAACCTTAACTAATTGTCAATTGACTGTTGTTGAGTTAGGGGAGGGGTGGGTGGGCAGTTATCAATAGATAGAATTATCCACCCTTTTCACAAAGTATTTGGAAAAAAGAAATAAGGAAACCTGGATAAAAATTTAACCCTGGATTAGCACTAATAGGCCTTTGAGCAACTGGGCCTTGATGCATAGCTTGGTGATTAAGAATAGCTCTTAACCCTTTAATGCCCTAAGAGTGACTAGTAGCTAATTTCTCCCTATAATGTCGCCCCTGAATCACATAAGAGGGTCACGAAAATAGAGGAAATGATCACCAAGTAAAGAAGCTCTTGACTGTTCAAGAAATACTCCTAGTCAGCTCCTAAGGAAATGTTTCATTAGAAAACAGTAGTGACTGGAGAACATGCATATTGATGGTGGGGTGTAAAGGGTTAAGACAAACCCTCTTCTGCTCACTACTTAGGATTGTCAATGAATACAATCAGTTGTATAGATTGCCTTCCTTTTCTCTTACCAGCAATTTAATCGTTCACTGAGAGACTATGCATGGAAGGTATTAAAAGTCAAATTGTCTAACCATGGAATGTGGGATCACAAACACATTGTAAGTACCAGTGAGAACTTGTTAATTGTTATGAAGCAGCAGTGTCTAATGGTTTCCAATTGCAAATTGGCCACTTCTAGGTATAAACAACGGCAGTGTCTAATGGCCTCTAATCACCACATAGCCACTCAGAGGTTTAAACAACAACACCTTAAAGTTTATTGCAGTAACACATCTGACATGAGTGTACTGTTTTTACTTGTAGCCTGTTCGTCAAGTAGAGGCCACATCAGAGCAGGAAATATTTCATGAACTGAAGCTGGAATACAGAGATCCACATGACAGAAATGCTTAACTAATGTTGAGACATTTCAATCTTTGAAAACAACAGTTGTTAGTACATAGTTGTGAACCATTTAGTGATTACATGCAAACAATGCAGCTGGTCCTAACACCTTGAAAGTTACCCTGCCTTGCCACTAAAACATTTCCAGTCATCGCAAATGTTGCCTTACCCTGCAAGTAAAGCAGGAAGATTAGAGGCAACCCTCGTCATCGTCATCATCATCACTCGTTAAGCCCGTAGGTGTAGACCATCTTATGGTCCGCACAACCCCCCATTGCATGCCACCACTTTGGCCACATTCACAAGTTATCCCTTTGAACCCTAGTACCAAATTCTTCTGTACAAAATTACCCCCAAATCAAACATTGAGGTCATGAGAATAAGGAAATGATCACCAACTGAAGAAGCTCTTAATTGTTAAACAAACTCTCCTTGACTGCATCTAAAGAAATGTATAGAGAACAGTAGGGAGAAAATGCTTAGTGATGATAGTGGACTAAATAGGATCAAAGTTTACATTTATTACCTTGATGCTGCAAGAAATTTCTTTGTCACAAGCAACATTACAGGGGAAGGAAGGGGGGGCTTTATGCTCAGAATTTGTTGTGAAATTTTTTTAATATAATCATAAAATTTTTAGACTAGTTTCAAACTATTTTTATTGCCAGTTATCACACTTTATATGAAGCTGTGTTGAAGCTGAAAAAATAAACTCAGAGAGTATACATTGTCTATCAATTTTATGTATCATCCCCTGATTAAATAATTTTTATTCTGAACACTCATTCACCCAGTCAACCAATGCAATGATAAATAATGTTAAATATAGCATACAATGTATTAAGAAAAGTTGTTTTGAATTTTATTTTGTAAATTGTTAATTTTTCTTAGGTTTGCAGGATCAAATTTTTGCAGCTCAAGGTAACTGGAATTTCTCCTGTGAAATAAAAATTGTTTGTGATTTTCTGTCCTAACAGGAAAATATGAACTGGGAAAGAAGCCTTATACTATGAACTGTCCTTATCGGTTCATAAGGAAGGCATAGTGTAGATGGTTTTTTGCGGTTTTTACTGATTCCACATACAGTGACTATGAAGTGACATTGTGACAGTAATTTATTTTGTGGGGGTTGTTACGTGTTTGAGGATTGATCTGCAAAAATCAAAACCTACAATATTTTCAAACTACCCCATTTAATGTTAGCTCCTTAGTCATAATTAGTATCTCAGAGTACAATTTACCATGGCCAACATCATATTAAAAAATAGCCTCCATTTACTGCAACACAATGTTCTGACATTTTTCCTCAGACTTTCCCTCTTCCTCCAAGTTTGTAGTATTCATCAAGCTCATTTCTACCAAAATTATTGTCTTAGGACAAATATACAATATATTAAAATGTTTTATTTATCTTTCATATATTTTTTTGTAGTGCACAAAACAAAACTATTCAAGTCATCATACTATCAAAAACAAATATTGAAAAAACAAATAGGTCCCTTCTACTGCAACAACAGTTAAATGCTCTCCCCACTTGAATGAACTTTGGAAGTAAGACTTCCATTACATTAGACACATGGTTTCAAAATTAAGGAATATCACTATGGGAGTATCCCTGGATATTTCCCTAGTTTATGCCAAGGCTTATTTAATTTAGATGCATTTAAACCAGTCATGCACCAGCAAAACTATTTGATGAATTGAAAAGTAGCATATATTAATCATATTTGTACCACCAATTTTTTTTTGGTCCCTGAAAAACTTGACCAGCATGGTATAAACTGTATAGTTGATTGTTATCTTCAAATCAGATATAAATTACTAAAAAGTTGCACAGTTGCTGTCAAATTTTGACTTGGTCTTGCCTAATAACTTCACACAACAACACACAAGAGCTATAAAACTTTTGTTCAAGCAAAATGTGACTCTATATAATTTAATCTTGCACACCAATATTAATTTAATTCTTAACCAAACCTGACTGTCCTCCTAGTAATCCAGACAGAATCTGCACCATAAGTTAGTAGTAAAAAAAGTATAAAAAAACTCATCAAAATAAAGTAAAGAAATATTAGGAAGCAGAAATTGCCTGCTGATATTACTTTCAAGCCACTTTATGACCTTGCTCTTTCTTGTCCCTGAGTGCATCTTCCACCTTAAAAAAGAAAATACTGTCAGTTTTTTTGGCCAAGAAAGACTGAAGATAGAACTGATGCTAAGTGTTTTTGACAAGTTTTTCCATCAATTTGGCTGTAACCAGTAAAACTCCTTGCCAGAGAGGGGTCTGGTAAGGAAACTTAGGAGTATTTTACCCTTTAACTTCCAGATAAGATTAACAAGTAACTTCTCCCTATAATATTCATACATTCAGCGCTCTACGTTGCAACCATTTTGGTTGCCACGGCAAGTGAAAAATATCGTTGGCCACTAAAATCTCAACAAAAAAGTGCCAGTTGGGAACCAACAGATTAAAAAAAAAAAGGCAACAAAAGCATGAAAAATTTATTGATCCTTGGTCAAATTATCAAAAAAAGAAACGCAAATGTACTGTAACTTCAAAATATGTAAAAAACCTGAAATGAGTAATGATCAAGTCAAAATGATTTCATTAAGATAATCTTCATTTCATATTTTTATATTACCTGTAGCAATTTACTCTAACCCTAAAATTTGCATTTAAAAGTGTGGTGACTTAATATCAAAAAAGTGATTTTAATTCCTAAGACAGTACGGGGAATTGCTATTGAGATCTGGGAGTAAAATGGTTATAGATGTGCTATTACTACACCTGTGTTTACACTGTATTATATTGTCTACATGTACTGTAGTTTAAGTTAAACATACCTTATTAGATTCAATTAGCACAATTCTATTCTTTAAAAACTCCTTCCTTGTTTCGGCAATTCCATCAGGTGACACTCCACGACAGCCATCCACTATAACATGAGTTTTAAACCCTTGCTCCAAAGCATCAACTGCTGAATGTTTCACACAAACATCAAAAGCTAAACCACACAAGTAGACATCTGTAACACCCCGTTTGAGAAGATCAACAAATAACGACGTCTGGACACAGTCAGCATTATCCCAAAATGCAGAATAGCTGTCAATACGGGGATTGCTTCCTTTCTTCACTGTGATATCATCTTTACCAGGAGGCTGAAGAAAAAGATGGAAACAGCTGATGTCGTTTTGTGTGTGAACAAAATTGACAAAAATTTCAAGACTTTATTGTTCCTGTTGAAGGTTATTCACATTTCTAATTCAGTGCTATTGTTATTTCTCACCGGAATTCAATGCAAACTACTTTTAATAAGGATTTTATTTCAGCCAGTGCTGTGGATCTCACTGTCTGTGGCCGACAACTATTTATTCTGCCAATGTTTTGTTCATTATACAGAAAAAATTTCTGCAAAAGGACACCAAATTGGTCTTCGCTAAAGCTCTCAAAATATCTATGGCAATGCATACAAAGGATCACTACTCTATGAATGAGAGAGCACCAACAGTTACAGCATAGGAAGGAAAAGAAGCAAGTAATTGAAATCCAATTTTTTTTGTAAACCAAAACTATACCTTGATTCCTTTGTGGAGCTCAGCTCCCCAACTGTCTATAACACAGTGTCTTGGCCACAAAATTTGATTGATGAGAGGAAGTTTGTCATAAACCACAACATCAAATAGTTTGGCTTGTGCTGAACTTACAGGACTAGTGGAGTGCAGAGGATACAATGACACATTGTCGATAAAGGAACAATGATCTGGTGGATGCCAGTCAAATGTGTAACCAACAACTTTAAATAGATTTTTAGACAACAGATCCTCTATCACTGCCACTACTTCCTCACCATCTTCACCAGCAGGGCAGTGCTTTAATGCCAGAGACCCACTCATGAAGTCATTTTGAGCATCAACGATGAGTAATGCCGATATGGGATTTGTAACCTGAAAAATCAAAGATTAATTTGAATTCATAATATAATAGTTCTGTTAAGACTTGATCGTATTAAAAATTTTCAGACACTGGGAATTATAGAGATTCTTGTGCTCTGATTTGTTGATGACTGTGTGATATCTCACTTTGATAGCACAGAACCCTGACCTTTATGTTGAAAGAGCCATGTTTTCACTTTGGGTGAATACACTGATTAGATTTCTGGGTCACAAAAAAAGTCACAAAACCCCTCTCAGGAGTATAAATGAATTCTGGTAAAATTTCAAGGGAACCTAATGAGGTGGTGATGGTACACCTTTGATGGACTGGGATATCTTTTATTCCCACCACCATGATGTTTGATTCCACAGTAACACTGTAAGGACAAATATGATGCTTACAACTCACACAATTTAAATGATTCAACAACCAGTTTTTTCATTAACTCCTTAACTTACACAAGCAACCAAGACAGAATTTCTCCCTGAAGAGACAAGTAATGAGATTGAAGAAAAATATCATTTCAGGGATTATTAGTAGATCTAATTCCAAATTTTCATGAGTAACAACACAAGAATTATGTGGGTAAGAAAGGAGATACCAAATGAGATATTGGGAGTTGATGGGTTAACTGTTGGGCCTCCTTAAAACTTTAACGCCCCAGAGCTCATTTTTAATTCTCCTTTCTGTCTGCCAAACAATTCTTATGATGCTATTTCTGAGAATTTGATACTGGATCAACTAGTAAATTCTTAAAATTATATTTTTCTTTATTCTCATCACCTGTCTGATTGATATTGTATTGATATTGTAAGGAGAAATTCTGTCTTGGTCACTCATGGGAGTAAGAGAGTTAAGTGGACACCAATTCACCACAATTGCTCCGACAAAGGGCTAATGCTTGAATGTCAGCTTTCAACTTCTTTCTTTTTTTGTGACTAATTTATGCTATCAACTCAGTTGAAATAGGCCAAGCTCAACATATGACAAGGTACACTGTATTATTTTACTGTGAGTTGATTCAGCTGGGAAGGTCTTTGACTTCCTGGGTAAATCAAGGATGAGTGAAAGAACGTATAACTGTTTCAAAAATTTTGTGAATATCTCGTCACTCCCAAGAACCACGTCTTCATTCGAGGTTAAAAGAAGTACCTTACCGGTCGAAGCCAGTATTTCCACAAAGCTATGCAAGACTTTTCATCAATTCTCTTCTGCAAGTCAACAAAAAAGAAGATTCCCGTTTTGAGACGTGTGTATAAAGTCCAAATACACAAAAAAACGAGTAAGATCATTTTCACGAATAAATAATACCTTAAACAGTACCTTAAACAGTATATTAAATTCGCGTAATAGAAACCTTGATCATCTACGTAATTAAGATTATTGCAAACTAATCGGCTTGTATGTTATCAAAAAGAAAACGATTCCTGTATTGTACAGCTTATATACGCGATAAACGTTATTAAGAAAAAATATTTTACGTAATAACACTGTTAAAAAATCTAATCAATATAATCTCTCGAGTCTTGCAATGATCGAAGTCGAAGCACGAACTGACACGAAGCTGAGTAGTACTTACCAAACACTGACAAAGCTGACATCGTATTTCATTTTTTTGCTCCACATTCAAACGATCTTTCCCCAGTAAAGAGTCCAACCAGTTATTTATTTCGTCTTCTGGTACATCACAGTATTTCGAGTACTTTCCTGTGTAGATATTTAAAACTACTTAAGCACTCATTTACCCTATGCAACGCTTCAGTTGCAATGGATATTACACTGAGTTTGCACAGGCGACTGGTTTTTCACAAAGTAAGGCTATAATGAGTTATTACCTAGAGAGGAACTCTTAATTGAGTTTGATATGTTCTCTCGGACTAACTTCAAGGCATTTTCACCCTCTTTTCCATTTTTCCGGTAACCATCAAAGAAGCAGCTCACAGTTTCTAGCGCCATTATTGTTTCTTACCAACAACAACAACGTGACGTAATGAAATTAGTATGTAGCCAGGCCTGGACTCCCATCGCCCACGTTCCCAGTCTCCCCACCCCCACCAATCATTACGTACAGTAGATTCAGGTGAGACAGTCACTCTAGCTAGCTCAGGCGGTCTTGTGTTACAGTGACGCTATTTATAAGGGTTTGTGTGATAACTCGAGGATTTTTATTTCAAAAATACAAATTGGTCTTTCCTATAAATGTAATTGACTTACCTTGTTACATGGTTGTATTTTGAACTATTGACAAAGGTCCTTTTAAAGTAGTTTTGGGGGAGTTAATGCTGCTTCTACTTGCTCTTAGAAGAAGAACACCGTAATTGGAAAATATGGGAACTTCGATATTTTAATGAGGATCTCGCTGCGCCATTTCTATATTGGCCAACGACTTGTCAAGACCTCAGGCCGATCTTCTCCTAATGCAGCCCTCGTTACGGGCCAAAAGAGCGAGGACTCCTATGAATGAATAAAGGGGGTAAGTTTCTAAAGAAACTGTGGTGCTGCGTCGGTGGGAGAGTACTAGTGTTAACAACTGAGTTGAAAACGTAAATTGGCCACCGTAAAGAGTAAAATAATCCTAAGAACGAGACTGACTCTTGGCTCATCAAAAGATCAAGCTTCCGGCTTGATCTTCCCTGGCCTTGTCTTGAAATTTAAAAATAACTATTTACGAATCTGTGAAAGCATTTTAAAGCCTTCAAAACATTTTGGTGCGACCAAGGAAAATAACGAGAGCTCTGGTTATCTGTTAATATCTTCCGTAGAAATGGAGTAGGATCCAGGTACGAGAGAACGACAGCACCGCGCACCACACATTTCTCCAAATCGTTATGACGTCATATGTGGTCACTAAACAATGGTAACTTAGCTCTTTAACTCCCATGAGTGACCAAGACAGAATTTCTCCTTACAATATTGATACAACATCAAACAGACAAGTTATGAGAATAAAGAAAAATATATATCAAGGGGTTATTAATTGATCCAATACAAAATTTTCCGAACTAACATCATAAGAATTGAATGACAGACAGTAGAAAGAATCACTACTGAGATCATTCTTGGGAAATATTCAGACTGATTCAGTGTCAGCTGATAACTGAGCGGTTAATAAGAAATGTGCTTTCGGTAATAGCAAGAATAATTTAAGATGAAATACCTTTCCTACCAAGTAGACCAAGAATGCCCAAGATATTCTGCGACAAGAAATACAACCTTTTATTTTTAGAACGTAAAAAAAAATTCCCTTTCAGACAACAACTTCCATATGAATCTTTAACATCGTATCTTACTGATGGTACCAGTATCCGTCATTTACTGAATTAACCCATCTGGTCGTATCTTACGAAAGAGGGGCGAGCTAATTTCCATGAAACATTACATAAACAAGTAATAAAAATTGTTATAATTGCTTTCAATTTACTTTTTCATTGTGTTAATGCAATATCCTGTTATAATCCTGCCAATGGAGCCCGTTTTTTCCTGTTTTTTTTGCAACAATGTTGGCGCGTGTGATTAAGATCAACGCGTTAATGCAAGAGGTCACGTGCGCAAGAGCTATTGGTTTACTTCCTGTTGCACGTGTTTCGTGTGTTCTTGCCTAGGGCCTGTTACGCGCACATGTTATGCAGTAGTAGTAGTAGATCTTTATTTAAACTCGGTTAAGAATCTTCAGTTATACTAATAGTATTTTAATTACAATCATTTGTAAAAAATTAAAATAACTATAAAAACTGATTTACAAGATTGCCGAGTGGGAATCGAATGTTTTAATAATCTAATCGTCCTAATATTCTCAGGAAGAGAATTCCACAGTAAGGCACCACAAAGCTACGTTTCAAATAGTCAGTACGCGGCTTAGCTAAGTTTAACTTACGGAAAGAATCACGCAAGTCATAGTCTGTGTGTTGCTCACTGAATTAATCCTGCAAGTACACTGGGGCTAACCCGTTGAGGGTTTAAACATCATTATAGCTTCCTGCTTTCTTCTTCTTAATGATAGCTGGTCCCACTTCAAAGTTTCAAGAAGCGGGCTTGAATTTACCTCACAGTTGGCTTGCAGAATAACCCTAGCTGCTCGGTTTTGCAATTTTTGTAGTTTCTCATATAGATAAGAACTCAATCCATCCCAAACGGGGGCACAGTTATCGAAATGAGGCTGGATTGAAGCGTTATATATTTGTTCTGCAGTGGACTGAGAAATGAGGGACCTAATGCGCCTCAGAGCACCTATTGCCGAGGATATCTTTCTGCATAGTTCTTTGATGTGATTAGACCATGAAAGTCGGTCATCAATAATTAAACCTAATGATTTGGCATGTTTAACCCTGCAAATTGGATGGCCATCTAATTGGATATTAATCTCACTACAATTTTCTGCAAGAAACTTTTGACGAGTACTAATGAAATGAAAATGCAGAGGATGCCTATTTTGATCTCAGTTGTTCAGCTGTAGGTTCAACATCAATTACTTTCCCTTCAAACAACCCTTGAGTCTTTTCTGAGTTGGATGGCGGAAGGGAATATTTCCCGGCAAAAAAATTGAGAGCACCAGGGATTGATGCGCTGGGTGATTCTTGGTTGGACAGTAATCGCAATTTTTCGGGAAACATCTTCGACTCGCATGATTATAAATAGGAAAATCATAAGAGGAGGAAAACTGACAGGAGCTTGAAGGAATTATCACAGTTTCGTTGGGCCTAGTGTTTACTTGAAGTTCTAACAATGCCCCGAGGATTGAATTCTTGCTGAGTAAGAAGAAATCGGAATACCCTCATCCATTTCTACCGGTGGACTGCGGTTGTTCGTGTTTAGAAAACTCATATGTCCCAATACATTTGACTGCGTGTCAGGATCAACACGCCTAGTCTTTCCAAAAAATTGACAAAGCGTTCGGCGAAAGTCAGGGAACCTGCAGCTGTAGATAATCAGATTCACAAACGAATTGCTGTAATGTAGAAGTTTGATTGCGTGGATGAAATTGATCGCCGTTTGCTGTCGACATTGAACGCAGAAGAACAAGGAAATGTTTAACAAATGAAATGGTAACCATGTGACGAGGAAGAATCCGGTGACAATTGCCAGAGTCAGAATGAGCCTGCGCTCTCGTTCAACTGACAATCTGCTGCTCCTCCCACGATCGCTCAGCTCGAGCTGACGAGCCCGTACTTTGTACCAGACCGCGGTGTAAGTGACAAGCATGACAACGAAGGCAAAAGACAGTGCGAACATCATGTTGTAAAAGAAGACGGTGAGCTCCACAATCTTGTGGGCCTTCAAAATGCGCAGTAAAACTTGCAGCGAGGAGAGCAGCCAACATACCATAACAGCTGCATAATAAGGCACTTTGCCAGTCGCTCGATGCCTATGAGGGGAGAAAACAGAGAACATACGCTCCAAACCAATCGCAGATAGGCTGAATATGGACGCAAAGCCGGTTAGCAGATCAATAGCGTCATAAGAGGTGATAAAAGTAAAGTCTCTCGCTATGGCGCTTTCCGGCCACTGGAAGACCATATACATTGGAACGGCAACGGAGCCCACGAGCAGGTCAGCGATCGCTAAGTTGATCAGTAGCAGGCTTGTGCGCATGCGACGAAGTCTTGAATTGTTAAGGAATACCGCAATAGAGAGGAAGTTCCCCACAATGGTAAAAAGAGCAAGACTGCTGAACAAAACCGTCCAGCTTACTCGCTCGGGGGCAGTCGAGGTGCTCATGTTTACCTCACTCTAAAAACAGCTGGTGATCAATTACAATCTGAAAATTAAAAAAAAGATGACAAAGAGAGATTGATTAATACAGTTTCTATTAAACATTTTGGCTTATTATCTACACCCCCTACACCGATATCCCTTTGTCGGCCCGTCATGCAACGAGAAAACAAATCAACACACAAAGCAAAAAACTCTATGCCCATCCCCCTCGAATATAGGCAATCCCAATTCCCCACCCCCTCCCCATGATTTTTCTTATGAATCGGAATGGGACAAAATAAACAAGTTTAAAGATTGAAATGTTCTGATGCAGTTGTAGAATTAAAATTGCAATCATGAAAATAAAAATGATAATATTTATGACATTAATGATAACAGCAACGGAAATAATGAAAGTAACAGAACAACTTTCTTGATTGATTTTAGTACATCTCTTTCATATAGGATAAGATTTCCAGTACGGGCAAATATCGATGTCACCTAAATGGCAGTAACGATGAATCCACATAACCGAGGATATGGCAAGCTTTCAGGAAGAACTTCACGGAGACCTACACAGCTAAAAAAATAAATGATGTTGAAGGAAAGCTAGAGGCGGTCTTTCTTGACTTGATCAGATAATCGATTAGTTTCCGGGTCTACACGGAGGGAAAAAATTTTTGAAATCGAATCAAAGGTGATACTGAAAGCATTCAATTTCTTAAATCCATCACGAAGAGTTACAAAAAAATTCAACCAGGCCTCTTCTAAATAAAAAAAGTTGTGTTAGTGAACGAATCGGGAAAGGCTTGCTATATGGATTCTTACCTGCGACTGGGAAGTTTAAAAGTTTTAGTGAAAGCGTACTTCCAGCCGACAGCAACAACTTGAAAAAGCGCATGTTTTGCAGATTTTTGTTGTCTATTAGAGGGACTGAAATCTTCTGGTAAGAAGATAGACTCGCCAGGCTAAAACAGCAGTCTATTACCGTCTTTAAAATCAGTGTCGAAATTGTCAATGTCGTTCGAATGTGAGCGTCACGTCATGTTGCGTGCGTGTAGCATTAGATATCATGATAGATTTACGGTAAACAGACAAAGATTGATACGGTTATCAGTTGTAGACTGGAAGCAATTCTAGATTAGAGTTTCAATTTAAGATCATTTGTTTGAAATCAGATAAAACATGTAAACATACAGCGCAAGCAGGCTTTGATGTCACCTTACGCACACGAAAGCCTCGAGGAAGTTTAATTAAACTGAATATAAACCCTTGGAATTGATCTGAAATAGTCCATTTAGTTATTTGAAACGATCATTGTGTCAAATGTTGGTTATTGATGAACTGAAAGCTTAAGTGCGCCCCATTAGCTCAGTAAAGGCATAAATTTTGCACTAAAAAGGAAGAAGGAAAAAACTGAAGGTGCCCAAAATAGCTTACCTATAGCTATTTTAGGGCACTCTGAAAAGGAACTTATTCTCTTTTTGCGTGCGGTTCATCAAACCACAAATACTTTACTGCTGTCGTTGAGTGCTAATTGTTCAAATTGAAAATGTAAACGCTAGTTACTGATGACCAATGCACTTGATAGCCATGTCAGAGAATTTGGTATTATATCAAGATTACAACTCTTAGTGATAGTTTTCAAAATTCTCACTACTTTTCTGTCAACAGTGTATTTAACGTGTAAGGAGAATTCATTTGCTAATAGCCCAAAGATTTAGACTTTTCTCTTTCAGAAGTCTCAGAGCCTCAAGGTCAACGGAGATTATATCGCGATAGCAATATAGCTGGTGGTAAACACATCGTTTGTTCGGTGCTGCTGGCTCCATTTATCTTCGCCGTATCGACGTCAATTGAATAAAACTGCCAACAACGAACGAATTTTTCTTTAGTTTTTTTTTTTTTCTTTTTATCGATATTTGTCGTTGTACGGGATATCGGAGATATATCTGTAGGCAAACTGCTTACGTACGAATCTCACTTTATCATTCATCATGTCGCAGGCAACTTTTTCAGGGGCCAGTTTCGGTTGTTGTTTATCCCAGACCAGTTGTAACTGAATCGAAGAGGTGAATTAATTGACTCAAACTATACCAAAAATTACTAAGATACAAAATCAAGACCCTTGTCTTCAAGTTTTACCGGAATTTAGAAAAAGGACTTCTTTCTTACCGTTTATAAAGGAAATTTCCCTTATCTCACCTGTGTGAAACTTCTTCCTTCTCAGAGATTTGATAGTGTGTTTTTGAATCAGCCCTAGTTTATTTTTATCGCCCCGAGATTCTATCGGACGTTGGCAATTGTCTTTTGAAATATCATCAATTGAAAGGTTTGACAGATAAGTTTTAGCTTCCGTAAGCTGGAGGTTTTCGACCAAACAAGAGAAATGAAAATTGGAATTCCCTTCGAATTCCGTTAACTGTATTTTGGTGATAACTTCAAAAAAGTTGGGAACGAAAAAGTAATTCAAAGCATTGTCACATTTAGCTCACAATTTGCACTGAGTGCCAACAGAGGTATAAAATACAGATGATCTGGTTTTGGCTCTGAACGCAATTAGCTAAACTCTAGGGTTAAATATTAATCAAATTTAGGGGAGAAATGTCATGTTAGTAAATTAGGGTTGCCATCTCCTCATTGCTTTTGTTACGTATCTCTGTAGTTGTGCATTTATTACGAAATTCTGAGAAACTTTTGGCAATTAACCTCATTATCTAATAAATCTCATTTCTAGGAAATTTCAGGGTTTTTTGTCAGTATTCTTTTGAAAGTGCGGGTCTCATCCTTTGCCCCTCTTTATAGAGGTTCGTCATTTTAATCCATCGAAACTGAGCTAAAAACGTTGAAAAGTTATCGTCTCGAAAGACCGAAGACTGTAAATGTTTGAAGAGTGACTTTTGAGGATATAAAAAAGCGTTGAAATAACCTAAGCGGAGAAACTTTAGGCTTTTATCAAAATATTTCGGGTAACTGCGATTGCGATAAAAAAAAGTGTATTGTTAGAAAGGAACGCCAATTTTTCTTGCGCAATAATTGCTGTGAGAACCCGTCGCTTTATGACGAATGTTTCTATCGAACTCACTATGACATTTTGACGCTAGTTTTCAAACCTTTATTATTATTGAAATCTTCCAGGCTTGTCTTCTGCCTTTGTCAACAACGCAGTCAAACATCAACAGGGACAGACGTCCGCCGCGAAAAACATGTTTCGCTTTAATTGATTTCCAATTTTTCTTTTTCGTCTTTATGGCAAAATATGAAAGGAAATGAAATGAAACGATTTCGAAATTATTTAAAATTTGTAAGTAAAAGACATATTATTTCTTTTAACATGTAAGTCTTCAAAAAAAAATTAGGTAAAGTACGGAAAGCAAATGAGTGAAACTATAGAAGGGAAAAGCAAACAACTTCTAGAAAACTTTTAATCTGGAAAAAAAAAAATTAAACACGATGCCAGTGTCTTGGCTACGCATGGAAAGGATTCCTCAACGCTTCCTAAACAGTGCCCTTTTAGAATCTAGCGCATAAAGAAATTTTGGCAATAAGCTAGTCCGTTGCTGTTTCTGTTGTTAGGCAAATTTTGGCCGATGATAAAGATGCCACTCCACGTCATAGAAGTTATTGAATTCGAACATAATACAAGATTTTTATTTTCTAAGTGAATATAACTAGTATTAAATTTGTTAACCTTACAGTTTTATCAGCTCTATGAAGTCGAAGGAACCAGTTAACTTTCTCGAATAATCTTAAATTTATGCTGTTTATACTTTGAAATAGTGAAAATGTTGATCTGTGATATCAGTTCGGCTGAAAAACGTGAAAAAAGGAAATGTCGCAATTATCCCTAGACCAATATTGTTTTTTATTTTTAATTGAATCCTTCTAATTGTTTCACTTAAGTTCTCTACCTTCAAATTGTGTTTCTATGCATCTACATGCTTTTTAAGTCAGTTCTTGACAATGAAGACGAATATAGTTATATGGAAAGAGGGTAAATTCACTTTAAAATTACCCGCGCATACCCTCGAATGTCCCCTCACGCTTTCCCCTCGAATTTTGAGGCTTAAAATTTATTTGATATACAAATAAGTATCTTAACTGTGATCATTCGTAAGCCGTATAATCACCTACGAATATCCCTGCTTCATGGCCAGCTTAAGGCAAATCGACAGCCATTTTTCAGTTTCCACTTACGCTGGAGTAAAAATATAAATATTGCGCTAGGTTAAAAGGCAATTTGTACGTTTTCAGCTCTTTAAATAGATAATCCGCTCAAGGTCTTAAACCAATATTTAATATCCGAGAAAGATACCCTTGTAGTCGGGAAATCCTAAGATTATAACACATCAATTTCCTCTTTCGGTTTCCTACTGAATTTCAAGTTTGCGCCTGACGTTAAAACTCATTGACGAGGAGCGAGGAGAAGTTTATCTAGTGCTTCGTACAGATGCGCTATTGCAAACTGAAAAACTTACTGTATATATAATTTCTGAATCAAAATCAGATTTGTTTTCTTCGAACGTTACGAATCCCTTAAGAACAGGTCTAAAGTTACTGAGATAAATTAAAATTTGTATCGCTAGCTGTAAAATTAAATAAAGCGATTATTATATCGAGCCGACTTTTTTCTACGTTTTTTAAATTTGTGTTTAATGATTTTTGTTTATGACTTCAAGCACAATATGGTTTAAATGGATCTTTGACCCTTCCCATATCGTTTTGCACGCAAACGTCGCAACGCTTGATTAGCCCAGTCGAAAAAAACCAAACTTGACGCGAGTCTCAGTAATGTCGCAAAGTCGATATTCGAGTTGAGTTTCACAAACTATGCAACCACGTTTACTCATATTAATTAGTCCTAAAATTTAAAAAACAAAGCTTTTAAAAACTTTACTTACCGATTTTGCAGACAGTAGCGTCTTTCTCACATTCAGTCAAAGAACAGGCAGTTCATTTGCGGATTTAAAAATCAAGTACGCCTCCACATGTGGGGTTATGACACAGGTGTTTTAGACGGCTCAGAATGATTACCAATTAATGCATAAATTTTTTGCTATTTGTAGTTTTGTCTGGTAATTAATTACTCAAGTCGGCACAATCATTTCCACGCACCTCTAAATTATTTGCTAATCTGTTTTTTACTCAATGTTGGGCTAACAGCGAGAGGATACCCCTCGAAAACGAGGAGGATTGGGCGGGAATGAATGAGAGTTCCCTCAACGATTTATTCCACGAAATATAAGATCTGATCAGTTAAACTGAAATGCGAGGCTCATCTTGGATTAGTATGGCTGCCTCTTTTACTCACATGAAATCCAAAATTACCCATAAAGCAAAGAAGATTATATTTGCAATCGGGAGCAATGTCTCTTCACTGGCCTATATTCTCCGTTCACAAAAAGGACGTCGCACGGGTAATTCTGGACAAGAGTCAATTTGCAATTCCAGTACGGCGAGGGATATCATAAACCCACATGTGGAGTTAAGAGTTCAATGTGGATCTTATGTCATTTCCATTTTAGTTTCACTTTCATGTCGCAATTTTAAATGTAATGCACCCTTAAACTTGAATTTGTGGGCGCGCCCTTAAAAAGTTTCGCACTGTCAAAGTGTCATCTCTCGACAATTTCTTTTCGAGTTCAACGTCCCTTTCCTTTGCAGAGTGTGAACCTTTTTCCCTTTTTCGAAGTATCCATCGGACGCTACTGCTATCGCTATGCATGACAATGAAAAGAAACGAATAATTCGCTGCTTAGTAAACACAAAAGTACAAAACAAACGTAGGGCAAACAAAATGAGAAATTTAGCTAATTATGATTTACAGACGAGATCTTTTCAACCCTCTCAAGTACAGCACCTGTTTCACTGACGGACGCATTAAACTTGATCGTTTCGTGTGTTTAAAGAAAAGATTGGCCCACATGGGATCAAAACCGTGCGCGACGTTGCCGAAAGGTTATGTGCAATTTTTATTTACATTGATCTGTAGTTTTTATCTTGGAATTGAAACTAAGAATGCACCTAGCTATGCTATTCGCCCCCATCGCGTTAGAAGTAATGTAGATATCCCCCCGTGGTCACTTACGTTCGGAATACGAACAACAGTAGACATATTTTTCAACGAGTGTTGACTTACTCATATATAGCATTACATTCGCCTCACGTATTCACCTAGCTTGAAGAGCAGACGTAATTTTGGTGGGCGAGTCCTCAGTGTTACCTTGGTGAAAATTATAGCTTCCATCTTTAATTTTTAAGCTGGGAAGAGAAAGACTTTTGTATCAAGGGGGGCGAGCGACGGTCAAAATGAAGGAGAGGGTTGTCTATTCGCCTTTCCCCGCCTCTCCCCCGACCGTCGACTTTAACTCCCAGTCAAACATGGCCGGTTGAACAAATGGTCGCGAGCTTTGCAGGCAGACACTACCAAGTGACAATGTTTTATAAAGTTTTTGTTTCCTTTTATTTTATAAATCACTCAGCAGCTCGTTAATAACTGAATGTAATATTATTAATTCTTTCAATTTCTCCTCCAACAATTCACAAGTCTGCGAAAGTACACGAACACCAACGGTTTGAACTTGACATTTGACCGATACCATAGTCACGCAAACATCACCAGTCAACAAATAAATTGATTTTTTTCTTGTGTTCTTTCCGAAACTTGTTTAATTGGATTTGAAAATGTCGAAATCTATCTTTTACGTTCTGCTCTGTGAATGATAACCATTGCATGAAAGGCGAAAGTTTCAGCATATACTCACTCAAATCGATACCACACTTCGTCGAATAAGCGCCGACTCCTCTAATAAAGAGCTCCTCCCCGAATACACGTCCACCCCTTAAGCCACAATTTCAAACTAGCACCCATTTCGAAAAAGTTCCCCTCCTCCTACCTCACTTTCTTTGATGGTAAGGATACAAGGAAAACCTGTTCCTATTGCCATTTCATTTATAAAACTTTTAAAGCTTAAACTACAACGAAATTAATAGAGGAGAATTTTTTTTTCTGCTAAGTAACCTAGTTATATCTATCTCCGTGTTCTTTCAGAGTTCCTTCATGTGCGTCATCTGTCTCTTATATTTTTCCTATTATAGGAAACGCCAATTTTCCTATTGTCAATTATAATAAAGCTCGGATATAACACGTACTATCATTGGTTGAAAGAGCGTGCTCTATGAGAGTTTATAATAAAGTTCGGATATAACGCGCGCTGTCATTGGTTGAAAGAGCGTGCTCTATGAGAGTAAAGAGCATAGAGCTGAGCTAAAGCTGTCACGCCATCTGCCAAACTGTACTATGTTCGACCTTTTCCGGGCCTTTACTTTAGCTTTTTTCCGATAATTGAAAGTGAAATTTCGGAACAAGCGAGCCGGCAAGTAGCAACAGAAGAACCAAATAAAGGTTTGTAAACATACCAGGCGCCGTAATTTAAGTTATTAAAACGTGAGTAGATACGAAAATCCTCAAAGGAAAAACAAAATAGACATTCGAGGTTTTAAAGATTGATTCACGCTCAGTAGATCACAAGCTTACGTACGGAAATAAAAATCAAACACAGCTAACACTCATATAGTATATAAAGTTCAGTGTTCAAAAACAAAACAGAACAAAACAGGAATGATGAAAAATATAACCAAACTGGCATAAATGTTAAAATTCATTCTAATCATGACGGTGTCTGAGCGAATATGATCATGCTGAAGTCCATCGCGGCTCGCTCATCCTGGCGATCTCCGGTCATCACAGTAAGTCTCAGAAACTACATCGGCCGCCCTTCGAGTGAAAAAATAAGAGCTTGCTCTGATATCCTTTCCGATGCGTCGAGTGGAAAGTCACATCTGTCACTGCAGCCGAGTTTTGCGGCGCTGTCATCCCGAGCGATCTTCATATTCCGGTGAATTCGGCTGTCGTTCATTCAAAAAACACTCGCCCTGAACAGTTTGTTTTCTACCTTGTCATGTGAAAAAACTTGCGTGTTTTGAAGGTGAACTTTGATGGTTTTTTAACTTTGATGGTTTGACACTTTTGACAGCTTTAGTCTTGTACAGCCAATCAGATTATTTGAACCATTCTAACAGGAATTCTGATTGGCCTATTGTAGCGTGCTTTATGAGAGTATAGAGCATGCTGACGACACTGTTATTCGCTTTGGAAATAAGATTTGTTTTGAAAATTGAAAGTAATTATTGGGGAATTTAACGGATTCTTTATTATAAAACAAATAGAGAAGCCTTGACTGTGCTCTGATGGCGACTGCGTCTCGTGTTTCCCCCTACACTTCTTTCGTGCTCTAACCGCTTCCTGCGTGCTTTACAACAGAACAGAGCACAGTCAAGGCTTCTCTATTTGTTAAGTAAAATACAAAAATCGCAGCCCTTGACTTCGGCCCCAATCGTAATATACTTGTTTTAAAAATATTCCTACCACACTACTTACAGTTAGTAAACGAACCTGTATTTTAACAAAATATATAAAGAGGGTAAGTTTCTAAAGAAACTGTGGTGCTGCGTCGGTGGGAGAGTATAGCAGGTAAATTAGTGTTAACAACTGAGTTGAAAACGTAAATTGGCCACCGTACAGAGTAAAAAAACTGACGTTTCGAGCGTTAGCCCTTCGTCAGAGCGATTCAATCAGTGGGCCAATTTACGTTTTCAACTCAGTTGTTAACACTAAATTACATTTTAACAAAATACATTTGTTAATCACTTTTTACGACATGCAATCTGTCACTAAGGTTTTCTTTTTAAAAGAATTCTATATTGATATTCTATATAAATATTTTATGTACATGAAGGGCCAGGAAAAAAATATTAGGGCAAAACTTGTTCTGTTAAAACACAAGGCAACATATCTTTGTCTTTCCTAAAAAAAATTAAAAAAAAAGAAAAAGATAAGAATTCAATATATTTCTGATAAATTTCTCAATTCCTCTAGCTACAGTAGTTCCATTTAAACCAAGCCAGTAGAAAATACAGCCAATCAGAATACATGAGGGCTTTGTATATTGGATAGTATTACCTGCGACCTTCCCATTGTGCTCTGTTGAAATTTAATAAGTGGCACCCTTTTCAGTTCCTTACAAGCCTTTGACCACGTCAACTTTATTCGCCAAGTATAAGTTGTAATTGGTGTTTACTTTAATTTTAAGACTTAGATTTATACAGAGTTTTAAAACATCATAGAGCTTATCCAAAACTATTTTAAATGAAGTTTATGCTTATCTCATATTGATTGTGTGGGCCACTGTATTCTCTGTGTCATTGTTTAGAGTAGTTAATGGCATTTCCTCATGTTATATCAATGAATAACCCCTCCTGTCACTGGTATTTTCGTGGTATACACAATTGTGGGATATTCCATGGTATACCAATTGAAAGCATTGGATAAGTAGCCAGTAACAGACTGTAGAAATGGATCATTCAACATTCATCCAACAGTTATCAGAGAAATCTGGGTAAATTTTTTAAGTCTATCCTCCAAACCAGTGACAGACCTTTTTTGTTTTGTTTTGTTTATGATTGCACCAACAGCTTTACCAGTACCATTTCCATTCATGCATAGAAAAAGACATTATAGGAGTGTAGTTCTTGTCAAATATAACTCTTCGACACATTTTTGTATAATATTCTCATTACATTTTTGAAGTTTTAAGCATGGTTACAGAAAAGAAATACCAATTAAGCTGCACAGATAATCAATTCATGAAGATCAACACTAACCTGAGATCTTTCAAAAGTTCATCTAAGTCTGAAAACCTTTTAGAACTCTTGTAAAGGAATACCCAGCCATCTTCTGCAGAACTGATCTGAAAGTTGTGATGGATACTACATTTAAGTACTAATCTTTAAATCCAGACCTACAGGAGTAAGGTGTGGAAATGAAAGGACAGAGAGGTTCCTGGTCCACACCTTAAAGTACATCAATTCAACTTTGTTGCCCACATGAAAGTACAAGGTCTTGAGCATTATGTGAGCTGGTAAGAGATCTAGAAGCAAACCTAGCCCCAACTTATCTCAAATCTTCTAACTGATGGGGAAACACACGTCCAGCAACACCAATAATGATGGCTTTCTTGTAAGCCAAAGCTCAATAAGTTACAGCCAAGCCAATAAATGCCCAGCCATATGGCTAGGTTAATGATTAACAAGGTTTTTTTAAAGTCAATTAATTATCTTGACACTGTAAAGCATCTAATTTAAAGCACATTGTCATGCTATTAAAGCTGTGAATAGTACCTTAAAGTGGTAAAGCTCTTTATTTGAGTCATTTTTCCAACAGTACAAGGTTAAAACCTGCAACCAAAGAAAAAATACACTTGTTGAGTAATGCACCAGCTGGTGAATATACTTTAGGTCTAATTCTGAGTGTGTAGGGAAAACATATATATCACCAAGGAAATACGAAAGGGAGATTTCTCTTCATCTTTAATCATATCTTCACAGATTTTGATAGAGTTTTTGCAAAATACTTCTGAATTTCATTCATCAAAATTTTCTGGAGCCCATCTTATGAAAGTTCCCACTAGTAATTGAATGGGCTTAGGCCATATCTTAAAATCAAAATTTTAAGGATAGAGAAACTGATTCTGGCACCCTAATTTTAACTCTTCAGCTGATGGTTTCAATATATCATTATCAAACCTTTTAAAACCCCCATGTCGAGTGAAAACAGAAGTGCTTTACAGGAGAAACAGACCTCTTGTTATTTTTGGAATTTTTTATGGGTTCTTCTAGAAGGAACACTAAAAATGAAATAGGCCAAGATAAGTTTTATACATGCACCTTTAATCCAGTTGAGGAAGTTGAATCTCGAATAAGGAAAGTACCATTTCTTTTATCTGCTGGTAACGCCCTCACTTTGTCCAGAAGAAACTCCTCAAAATACTGTCAAAATTGTGATAAATGGAGATAATTTATGTTAAAATGAATTCTTATTTTAAAAAAATTAAAATTTCAAATGACCAAGATATGTGTTGTCAATCATGATTTTGCTACTTCAGTTATAATCAAAATTACAATTTTGATTACAAATTTGTCCTTACTAACAAAAGCCATAAAAAAGGAGACTGAATCATGATCTCAAACTATGTCAAATCAGACATCTTACCATGTTTAAAAGTGAAAGGTTTTGATGTATATGTTTTTTGAAAACAGTTTAACAGACTTCAAAATAAATAAATAATTAACACTATGATGACATAACTTTACATTGTACTTACAGATCTTGACTTCACAGGGTCAGGTTCTTCTTCTTTTGGTGTTACAGAATATTGATCAAACTCATTTGAGCCACTTGCTGTCAAGTCTGAATTCTCATTTACAGGTTCATAAACTTGTTTGGGAGGAGTAGGAGGAAGAACTGTTACATAATTATCTGAAGCGGAATCCTCTCCAACTTTGTCATCAGCTGGCTTTTTCTCTTGCTCTAAACCCGGTTTCTGTTCATTAGGTGATTCTGGACCCTTATTCTGATCTGGAACCTCTGGGGATGGTTCTAAAACAGCATACACTGGTGAGCTCCCTTCAAAAGCCCCATCTTCTTTAGGGTTTATTTCATATATGACATCATTTGATGGGGATTGAAAGGCACTATTAGAGTCAGTGCCTTCAACTTCAGAATATACATGATCCTCAGTTTCTGGAGTGATAGCTTTATTAAAGAATTGCCTGGGAGGTTTGGAGGGTGGCTGTTTATCACTTCTAGCTTTAGTTTGGTCTTGAAGCTTCGGCAAGTTTGTTACAACATCCACAGATTCATAAAACTGTCCTGGTTGGTCAACAAATCTATCCTGGCCATCTGATGAGAGACGCGATGTTCTCCTTTGATTGGCTTGCCCTCCTGCTGAGTTCTTGGCACCATCTTTAATATTTTCTGAATTAGATGGGTGGCGAGATCTACTGGCTGCAGTGCTGCGTTGATTTAAAGATACATCGTCATAGGCTGGAACCATGCTTGCACGACTAGATGCCACACTTGTGGTGTCTTGATGCTGGCTCTGTTTATCAGCCAGACTGGCAGTAGATACAGAGTCATGGCTTGGAGCTGAAAAAGACAACGGAAATGCCCACTAAAAAACTTTTTAGGATCAAAATCCAATAGCATTCACTCCTTCACCCCCTGAATCACATATTGAGGTCACAACAATAGAGAAAATTATCACCAACTAAAGAAGTCCTTGATTGTGAAGGAAATTCTTCTCTACATCACCTAAGGAAAAGTATGGGAAACAGTATGGAGAATATGCATACTGATGTTATGAAGTAAAGGGTTAACTGACTGCTGCTCAATGAAAATAGTTTACTCAAAACAAATATTAAGCTATTTTCCAGAATTTTCTGTTGCTTAGAAACCTTACCCAAACACATTTATAAAGGATATTGATTTTGTACTGTTTTCATTACTCATGTATATGCATGCTCTCTAAGTCATTTCCTATTTTCACTCAAGCTTGTTATGGAAGAATTTGTTTTAATGTTTACTTTCCTCCTGCATTGCTTAGCTTTGCTATTTTTTGGGCAGGGATTTTTAGATATGTATTTTCATGGCTAAAATAAATACATTTTGTTGTTAATGTCACTGTTGTTGCTACAAAACTGAAGAATTGACTGAACTGGCCAAAAAAATTCAAATTTTTTGGGGAAAATTTCTTTACAAATCATCTGAGCTAACTGACCAGCTCTGACATATATTATCCTTTGTCATGATTCCTGTCCTTATGATTTAGTCTCCCAAATGGAAATGCCTCTTAAATCTCAAGACAATAAAATTTGTCTTGTTGCCAAGGGCATCTTGTTTATTGTGTTACCACCTACCCAGTAACTGAACAGTTTCTATGAAACAATAAAATTGCAAAAAGATTATACCTACATCTGATTACACGCTCATCAGCACTGTCAATAGCTCCATAAGAAGGATGCCCACTTCCTTCACTGCTGATGGGCTAAAGAAAATGAAAAGACTTTACTGTAGGATCATGCAGGTTTACCCTGATTGGGCTGGCTGACTGCTCATGTTATACTAGCATAAAAATCATCTTGGGAAAAAACCAAATCTACACCAAGTACTCTATTTTAAGATAATGAGTTGTGCTTACTTCAGTTTTTATCAGCCACTATAATTATCTTTTTTTTTTGCCATATTAACACACAACTTTCTATTTCTCAATTCCTTCTTTCAGTTTTCAAAATTTTGTAACTTCAGTACTTTTGTTATACCCCGCCCTGACCTATCCAAGATTGAAAATTCATTTGAAAACCTCCAGCTCAATGTAATCTTTCATGGCTGATTGATAATAATAATATTTCACCTGTCTTGGAGTATCATGAAAGAAGCTTGATAATTATTAGATATGTTAACCTTGGAATTCCTAACACGAAAAAGAGGAGCTCAATGCTTCAGTTTTTCTGATCGGAAAGTTGCTTGCTCTTATGTGCGAAGTGATGAGAAGTCTGCTATAAGGCCTGTTCAAGACAGTTGTTGTGGTTTGTAATCAGCTAAATTTAAATTGATTAACAACGGAAATTGATCAACAATGAGGTCCAAATGGCGCCCGAATCCAAATCACTGTATCATTGAAGTAGGTTTCGTCTTTTGTTAACTGAAAATCAACCATACCTGATATGGATAGGGGCTTGATCGGTCATTGCTGCTGCGTCGAATGCGTTGCCTATTCCGTATCTTCCGCTGTATGCAGCAAACGAAAGCTGTAAATGGGATTCCAACAATTATAAATGCCACGATTGCAATGATTATGTAAGCCCATTTGTTGTATGTGCAACCGGGTGTACCATCTTGGTATATCCGTTCAGTAAGCAGCGGACAAGTAATGTTCTTATCATCACCGTCCAAATACTCGAGCAAAACTCTCATAGTTGCATCAGGAACATAACTGGAGCGTACCTCCCTCAGAAGGTACAAACATTTCAGCATATATGAATATAATCTTGTTTGGGGAAATACCGCTACTCCACGGCTCAGGATAAGCTATTTTCTAAAGAAGTACTTTATTGGCTAAAATTAAGCAGCCAATAGAAGTTAGCTTTATATCATGCGGCGTCTAGAAAACCGTGAAACATTTCCCTTGAAGCCTCCTGAAATTGTGAAACTAAGAAAACTGTACCGAGATGTTTAAGAAGAAAAATCGAGGTGGTAAAGCGTTGCAAAGTGGAAGAAAAGTGGGCTTAGAAGTTGGAGGAGCGAGAAATGTCAAAAGATCGCAAGATCTGCGCTCTGCTCTTTCTCGAAAAAAGGCTAAAAAAGCGCAAGGGTTTCGTGTTCCTGCCACTAAAACGAATACGAGGAATATTGTTGACGCGAGGCAAACTATTTCTTCGAAGAAAAAACTAACTCAACCGATCATTCGTTCCATTTCCTTGCTAGAGGATCAGAGAAAAGAAAAAAGACAAAATGAATTTCAGAAAAATAGGTCTTTGACGCTGTCGACTGGTGGCCATATTCAAATTACTACGAAGCAAGATGTCCCGCCAAATAGGTCAGCTACAGTGATGGGAGATTCGATCCGGATCACTGCCAAAGTAGAGCGTAGTAAGGAAGATTTGGAACGAGAAGCAAACATCACTGCAGGGTATCTTACGATAACAGCTAAGAATGAGGAGGCAAAAAGAAAAGAGAGGGAACAAGTCTTAAGAAAGCGAGAGAGACAAAACGAAGCAAAAAGGAGGGAACGAGAGAGGAAAGCTCAAAGAAGAGAAAAGGAGAGAAGAGAGAATACGCTGTACAGTCAGATTAATGTAGAAAACAGCGTCTACGCATCAAAAAAATCCGAACCTCTCCTAGCGGGCAGATTCGGAGATAGTTTGTTGGAGGGCAGATTGGATCACGGAATGAGTAGTACCGCAGCACAGATTCAAAGGGGTCCGGAGCCATCTAAACAAGACATACCAACTTCCGGTTGTAGGATCACGGTCTCGAATTTACACCCGCTTGTTACTCAACAAGACGTTGAAGAACTCTTCGGCGTAGTGGGTGAGTTACGCAGTTGTAAAATGCTTGGAAGGGGATCAGCAGAAGTTGTGTATGTGAATAAAGAAGATGCACACTTTGCAATTAGTAGATACAACAACCGGAAACTTGATGGGCAGCCGATGCTTTGTAAGCTAAACATGCAACCATCAGCATCACTCTACTCACCTCCACCGGCCAGACTAGCCCCTCTTCCTCCTCTACGTGCTGCCCCTGCACCAGCAGCAAAGCCTCTTCCAAGGAGTGTTCCTGCAGAGTATGATGGAGCACCAACAGAAGCTTCAAGACCAGTGGTCTTCAAAGTCAGAATATAGGAAAGTCCAAACTCTCATTGATTTAAACTTTGTGCTTGAACAAGTTTTGTAACGATTTGTGTATCTTAAACATTTTAGTTAGAATATTTCAAGGTTGTCATTTTGAGCCCCCAGTAATAATGTAATTGCCACCCCCCCTGGTAAGGTGAGAAAGAAAACCACACTTTTAGAGAGGTGGAAATTAAGCCAAATTTTGTGAACTTTAGAAAACTGTTACATTTAGTTTAAGTTTTTTTGTCACATAATGGCAATTCTGTTCTTCATCTGAAATGAAAATATCTTCTCAAATTTCACTTTACTAAAAGAACTGCCACAGTTTTGTTCTTGTTATGTATTCATGAGATTTCTTGAAAATTCATACTGTAACTTTGCACAAAGTTTGCTCAGTTTAGGGATCCTTATATTTTTGTAGGTTTAAGAGGTATTTGAATTGTTAAATGTAAGCTAATTCCATTACTCCTATAGAATTACAAGTTAATTATATGACAATGAATGATCACAATGGTCACCATCATTGTCTTAAACTTTAATTCTGTGATTTCTTCCTGATTTTTTTTAACATTTTAATGATGTTGTAGCCATGTTCTGAACACAGTAGAGGGTTGCTCATTCTTTTAAGAGTGACTGCAATGTAACTTCTCCTTACAATACCACCCCTGAATCACACATGAATACAGAAGAATAAAGGAAATGATCAGTAGCTAACAGCTTTTGATTGTTAAACAAATTCTTATGGCCAAGACCTTGGGAAATGTATGGGGAACAGAATAGAGAATATGTATATTGATGTTAAGGTGTAAAGTGTTAATTTCAAAGATCTGCTATGGTACTCTTTCCTCTAGTTCTTGGTTTCATTGTAAATTAGGATTTGGACTCGCAGTGTTTATATCCTCAGACAAATAAATTGTGGAAAGAAACCGAAAGAAGGGATCTTCCTATTTTCATTTCACTGGTTGTTGAAAATAACAAAATTAACCAACTTTTAATGAATTCTGGAAACACAATTATTGTTTGTTTGACAATTTTATTGGGATGATCAGACCAACAAAGTTGTCAGCTAAGGCATTTAAAGGTAGAGCCAATTTTTTCCATTTTTAGGTGGTGGAACTTTTGCATTATGTTTTGACTGCATGTAACACTACACACACTTTTGTGTGAAGACATTTCACAAAAGTCCCTGTATGAGGGCTGTATGCAATGGCTTGGGTAGGAATAGCAACAGATATATAATAAAATGCCTGTTGACCAAGTTAAATTAAGCTGAATGGCAAAATAATTGGCTCTCAGTTGTAACACACTGACCACCATGTGCTCCCAGCATGCATCATTACCTTGAGCCAGAAGTTTTCATCCCACAATCCTCCCACTCAGTCAAAGTTATTGTACTCTACCTTGGACAGCTCAAAATTTTGTATGATGTTCGTGTATATGAATGCTTGTCTGTACTCATCATGTAGTAACTGGTCACAATTTGTGCAAAAACTTGATGTGTTAATAGCTTTGCCTCATTCTGCCTTTGATGAAATGTCGCTTGATCACACTCAAGTGGAGTCAACCACAAACATAGTACTATGATTCACAAAACCAACATGCTGTGTACAATAGAAAAGCAACCAAAGTAGGTACTAAAACATTTTTTATTCGTGAAACAGTACTTCATAAAATGATACAGCTTGGTTATGTCAACTAAAAAAAAAAAAATGAACAAGTTTAACTTGTTAACTTTACAAACAAGAACCATTATCCAACTATTAAACAACTATCAACAGTCCTCCAAAGGTTTATGATAAAATGGCAGTATTCCTGGATTAAGATTTTGAAAACCCTTCATAATTTTCATCACAATTGCTTAATTTGTTACTCAAGTTTTCCTTTTCCCTCATTGTATAGCATACATTAGTGAAAAGACATCAACAATACAAGCACCGACAAAACAAACAGGCAGGTTACACTTTTTTTCACCAATGACTTTGTCTCTGTCTATCATTAGTCGAAATTTGCTATTACCTACTTAAATATACAAGGCTGAAATTTGGAGAAGCAAATTAAATAACATTTTTTCCCCTCAAGAGGCAGAAGCTTGAGGAGGGGGTGGTGCCATTGGAGGAGCTAACTTTTCAATGAAGGCAGTGAACTTGAACACAAAGGTCCGCAAGAATGCTGGGCAGCGAGGATGACTTGCAAGCTGCTCAACTGATCGTCGAAGCTCAGTAAATAGAAGTCTGGAAGAAATGACAGAGATAAACAGTTGGTTTGAAATTTTATTCTCAAAGGAGCTTTGATAAAACTGCACAGGTAAACCCCTTCAACATGCAAAAGATCTTGCATATGACAGATCACTAACCCTTCATCTGACATGACAAACATTTTTGAAACTTTGATTACAGTTTGTTTAACTCTGTTTTGCTAGACTGTAGAGAAGGCAGTGGTTGCCCTCACCAGCTGATATAATAATGATATATAATGATACCAGTGTGAGGAATTGCAACACAACCACATCATTTTTGTACTGAAATTGTGCTTACTATAAAATCAAACTCAAATATTTTTTCTTGTGAAAAAATACTTTGAATGCTCTTTGCCAACAAAATGAAAACAAAAGATGTTTAATTAATATTCAAAAATTCTGTCACTAACCTACAATATGGGTTCCGCCTGGATGCATATCTAAATCCCACAAATCGATAGTAAACAAAAGGAATGACAATGCCAGCTTGACCACTGAAATTGAAAAGTCATCCACAGCAGCATCAGTAACATATTGCAACATTATCCATAGATCGTCCATTTCAAACTCTTACTACAGTATATTATCCAAGAAGACTAGAACATTCTCCTCATTTATTTTAAGACCCCAAGTGTTGCTCCACTCTGGGGCTTGAACCTTAGACCTCTCTCATGGGAGTGTGGGAACCTCACAACATGAGCTACCCAGGTGGAGGAAAAAAGCAGTATTAATAATTAAACTTCATTTGATGTTTTTCACTTATCATTAGGAAAATGAACTGTATACAGACCTGAGTGCCATTAAAATAACGGCTGGCATCAGCATTATCTCTGTGCAAGCAATGAACCTCAGCAATCCCTGCTGATGAATCTCCACCTTCTCTATGGCTTTACGAGCTGACCTTAAAAAGAAAAACAAAACAGAACAAAAAACATACAACTTACAGGAATGAAATAGTATTTAAGTTGTTGTTGATTAAATGTTCAGATAAAATCCAAAATTGCACTGAGTTCTCACACAAATTCTTGTTTATTGTTACTGATTTGGATACTACATTTAGTCCAATTGTAAAAAAAGAAGTTAAAACATGTTCTTTTGAATTCTGAACACTCGATGATTATAAAAAAATTTGAAAAAATAAACAATAAAAGGGCAAACATGTAAAAAACACCAGTAACCTTTTACCCCTAAGATTGGCCATCATCTAATTTCTTGTTACAGCATTGCAGTATTGGATTATGAGGAGAAAGGAAATGAATGCCAGTTTAAGAAGTTATTGATCATTGAACATATTCTCCTTGTCATTATCATGGGAAATGTAAAGAGAACAGCATGGAGAATATATACACTCATGTTAGGGTGTAAAGGCTTTTAAA